TGTGCGTACTAGTCAAGGTGACATCGCGTGCAATACGTAAGGATGTGAACGGGAGTGGTCTATAGGATACTTTGTATCTTGTTTTTGCGCTATTTGACACTCGTCAGCAAGGTATCGCTGTGATCTCGGGGGAACTGAGGCTACCTGATGGATCTGATTCCGATCCCGTGCCGACCAACTTGGATGTAGCTGGATGATTTGGACTTCACAGATGACCTGGCCGAAGTTCTAAAGAGAATGCTGATGGGCGACCTATGCTCTTCAACGTGGGTTAACAGGCGTAAGAACGTAAGTCACTCCTGAAAGACACTTATCAGTCTAACTGCTCAATACATTAGAATTTAAACATGAAGTCATCTTCAAACATTCTAACTCGTCAAATTCCATCTGTTTAAATCATTTCAGAAGAAGTGTAGATGTTTGTTTCGTGATTTTCATTATTTAAAGTAATTTACATTATGATTTAATTTCTTTAATGAACTACGGAACTTTTGTGGTGTGTGCTACTTAAGTAGTATATAACACGAGTCAGGAAGAGAATGTCTGGCAGAAGAAGATTGTAACGATTGAAGAGGGAAGATCGAGAACAGAAAGCAATTGGTATAGAAGTGATGGAACAGCGAAGTTTTAGACGATGGATTGATATATGAAAAAACATGAGTCAAGTTTGAGACAATTGACTGATATTTAACAAATGAAGTATTTACTATATGGTTCTCAGGTTTTACTAAGATGTGATGAAATACATTCGATTATCTGTAATTTGTGTTCTCGTTTACTTCGCTTCCGGTGTTTTTGATTAATTTGAAGTCAATAATGTAATTTACTGTTATTGTAGATGGCATTAACATCAATGAACTCCTAAAATACTGATCCACAAATTTTTTAAGCGAAGATGGATAATGACTAACAGTGGAATCCAGGACGCGCTTTTCGTCCTGTTTAAGACTCTTCATCTGGATGTCTGCATCTCATAGTTGATATTCACTCTGAGACTCGAACCCAATAACATCGCGTTATACACTGAGCTACTGAGTCCTGATAGCCACCTGAACAGAATACACATATGTCAATAAGGGAATGATTGATTGCAGTGCTAAATAACTATTTGAAGATACAAGTAAACAACACCAAGTGAATTTGTTCCAATAACCTTGATTCTGATTGATTGGCCACTTGACCTTCGACCATGTGATTGATTGACATCTTTCGCGTGCATCAAAAATGTATTAATTTTTAGTCATCGAATTAATGTGATATGTGAATCCGAGAATAAGCTATAATGAGATAAGAAAAAAAGCAAAACATTCACTACTTATTAACTGACAGTAGTTTCTCTTTCGTTAGCCACAATACATATAATTAATTCCGTTTACGTTTCACCTGAACTTGTCTATCTATAGATTGTTGTCACAATCATAATTTGTGGAAATTGTAGTAATCTTGATGCTTGAATTCATGAATCAATTTAAGCTAGACCACCATGGAAAACCTAGAAGCACTGGACGGCCGTTTCGTTCTTGTATAGGTCACCTCAATAGTGCGGACGCACGAACCCAGGACCTATTGATCTCGCAGGAGAACGATTAAACTCTAGATCATTAAGCCGTCATCCAACGGTATTATTGTCTAACTTCAACCAATTCATGATATTGTGCGACCGTCTACCATTGTCATCAGTGAGTAACTTCCTCAAAAAAAACACGGTTTGACTCCACTGATCACGTCTAGTAAAAAATATAGAACTTACGATGAAAAAAGAATGATTATTACAAAAGTCATTAATGTAGCAATAATATTTCAATAAATCATGAACAATATTACTGTTATTTTTAGATGAAAACTTGCCTATTCAACAGTATATAAAATTACAATAAGTCTCATTATTTAAAAATTGTTTTGACTAATTACTTATAAATGCTAACCATATGTATATGGCAAGGTAAGGGTCATTTTCCTACAACTGAATAACATGGAATTCAAAACAGTTATCAACCAATATAAAAGTCACAATCTTCAATATGAACGTCAAGACAGTTTTGTTGCACGGAGCTGAAACTTGGAGAACTACCACAATAAACATCAAAAAGTACAAGTATTTATAAACAATTGTTCATGCAAGATATTCAATATCCGCTGGCCGTATACTTTCAGAACAGCCTATTGTGGAAGAGAATAAACTAGCTTCCAGCTGAGGAGGAAATTAGGCAGAGACGTTGGAAGTGGATAGAATACACATTGTGGAAATCATCAGACTTCATCAGGAGGCAAGTGCTAATTTGTAATCCTGGAGAGAAAATGTGAAGAGGAAGGTTAAAGAACACACTGCGTTAAGAATTGGAAGCAGACATCGAAAGAATGAATAGCAACTGGAAACAACTGGAAAGGATTTACCAGGACAGAGTTGGACGGAGAATGCTGGCGGGCGGCCTATGCTCCTCCACGAGGAGTAACAGGCGTAAGTAAGCAAGTAATATATACCAGCTAGGTTTATTAAAAGAAATTCATAAACTATTAAGACACGAAACGCTGGAAAACCCAAGTGGAAACGCTAGATTTTTTTGTTATCTTTTCAACTGAATATATCATTTAAATAAATAGTAGAGTTCACTGAATTTGGGAGTTAAACATATACTTACTGACGCCTGTTACCCCTTGTAGAGAAGCATAAGCTTTCCATCAAGATTATCCACCAAGCTCTATCATGGACAATCCGTTTAAGTTCTTTCCAGTTGCTATTCATCTTTTCGATGTCTGCTTCCGATTCCCGACTCAGTTTGTTCCTCTTTTCCATCTTCCTTCACTATTCCAAGTTAGCGCTTACATTCTGAAACAGTCTGATGATTTCCACAATGTGTATCCTATCCACTTCCAACATATTTTCCTAATTTTTTCTTCATTTGTAAGCTGGTTTGTTCTCTCCCACAGTAAGCTGTTGCTGATGGTATCCGGTTAGCAGATATTGACTATCTTGCGTAGAAAATTGCATAGACAACCGATATTAAATAATGACCACATAATATTATGGAATAACTAAAATTGAATTTATGAAATTTTGGACCCATGTTTAATAGATTAAAAATACAATACTTTTCATCAGACCTAAATGTCATGGGTGTCATGTTTTGGGTATAGACGAGATAGACGAATATTGTTTTCTAATTTCAACAACCGTTCATTTATGTAACTTATCCTAAAGGTGTGTAATCAATCTTACTACTACTACTACTACTACTACTACTACTACTACTACTAATAATAATAATAATAATAATAATAATAATAATAATAATAATAAACAATGGAATATGGTTTTATTCTCCTGTTATATGACAACAATGGATAGATAGTGTTGTAACGGGGAATGCTGAATTATGGAGCAGCGACTTATCGATCGGATCAATGACACGTAAACACGAACAAACGACCTAGAGTTCTGATTGGCCCTGCCTCCTCTGCATTAAAATGAACCTTGTAGTAAAGTATTTTCTCGCATACTTTGTGCCTTCTCTCTCGTGTTCAGGACACTGTATAGTTCTAGCTTGGGGGTTGCAGAATAGCTTAGGAAACGAATATAGCGTTTAATCCGCAAGACATATCAGATAGTAAATTAATCAATAAAATTAGATCAGATAATTTGATGATACCATAATGTATGGACGACCTTTGAGCGACGCAAGACTGACCTTGAGAGTGTCCCCCTAATAGCCAATACTAAATGATGGTTATAAATCAATGTGAAGATTAAGGATTATGATTTACAGTTGATAGTTAAAGTTAGAAATTAGATTTCAGGTTTGCATCACGAACTGACATCAGCTTGAATAACAAATGAATGATTGAATTTCACGCTGAAATCCAAGACCTGTTTTGTTATTGTGATAATTAGGAGTATTTGATTCATAATACGAACTAAGAATCTCAGAACTAATGCAATTGGGTCAAGGAATACTAGATGAATACGAACGAATTTATTATATTCGGAATTCGAAATCAAGCATTCAACAAGTAAAAAGGAATCAATAATTCATGCAAACACCACAGTTATATGTGATTGGTTCATCTATATATTATAGTCTCACCGAAAATTCCTATATATTCACTCTTATCATTACCAGAGAATAATGAATCATTTTTTAGGGAATTTCTTTTTAAAGAAGGAATTAGGTATATACAAAGGGATTTCCTAGTTTTTATTACAAAATTTCTAGTTATGATACAATCTATTTCATTCTAATTAATCCATCCTAATTGTTCATATACATATATTAGTTTGTAAGATGGTGAAGAAGATTTATAGCTCAGATGGATGATTTTGATGGAATTCTGTTCTTTGGGCTGAATAGTTTAATTTGAACTTCTACTTGAAGTTTATGATGATGATGATGTCGTTCAGAAGAAGAAAATGAAAGCTCCACGACCAATTCATTCAGCTCAATGAACAAAACTTTATCAAAAATGTTCATTCTTATATTTATCCACTTTACGACATGTAAATTTACACTTTGAATGCTTTGCCAAATTTCATTAATTATTCTTTGTAACTATGTTAATTTTTTTATTATTTTAACTAATCTATAAGAAAAATAGAACTGTTTATAATTTTCCTTTTACTTATATAGATATATTTAATGATTTCTGTGTAGGAGTTTCTATGCATCTTAATAATAGTACAAAACATAGTTTATTGCCAAATGATTCTCTATTTTTAAATATTTTAACCTAAATGCCATCTCTGCGTGTGTGTGTGTGTGCGTGTGTGCTATCGATCGGTAGTCATGTTCTATTCGCCCAGTTACCTATTGATCGATCCCTTATATAGTTACAAAATACATATATATTGTGCACTGAAACTAGCCAATCAAAAGATAGAATAGAAATATCATGAAACGTTTCCATTGATTTGATTGGTTAATTTAAAAAAAACAACCAATCAGCTGTTAGGTTTTATAAAAGTGGGAGAAAAAAGCAAATAAATAAGGAAGCTGAAATTTAGAACAAAATGTGTCATACATTCCAAATTATCTTAGAAAGTATTTCATTGATCCATTTGATAGTATAGTTATAGTAGTTATGTTATCGATGTTATTCATTATATTATGAAGGTTTCGTTTATCCATTGAACATGAGTAAACAGATATGGGATAGTATAGACTCATTTGAATGTTATACATCATGATAAAGATCTTCCATTGTGCATAATCATAAACAATAAAGATTATCTATCTTAAATGATACTTTATAATGATGTTTAATGTTATGGAAGTGATAATAATATGGATTTAGTAAAAACTGAAGCAACTTGTTTACCAGCTGGTCGATATGAATTTAAAGATTCTGGTTTATATATTGGTGAATGGTTAAATGAGAAAGCTGTTGGTTTAGGTTTAATTACAAAAGATAAATGTCAAGGTGAATATACTGGTTTATGGGATTCTGGTTCAGAGAAAAGTGGTGTATTTTTATGGCCAAATGCACCAGGTGCTATGTATGAAGGTGAATGGGCACATAATCGACGTAATGGTTATGGAATATTTACACGAGAAGATTGGGTTATTATGGGACAATTTAAAGATGATTTTATTAAATGTGGAATAAAATGTAAAGAAGATTCAATTGGAAGATTTGAAGGTGAATTTGAAAATGGTTTTCCTAGTTTTGGTGTAGAAACTTATGCAGATGGAGGTAAGTTCTTTTTAATTCTGACTTCCTTCTTTTAATGTGTATGTATATATAATGATATAGATTTACAATTAAAGAGGATGTTTTTTGGAGAGATTGTGTTTATTGAGTTAGATGATATAATGGTCAACCTTTCAGTATCGTTCTGAGCACTATCATCAATGCCTATTTTACGTAGAACTAAGCTATTCACATACTTTACAGATGATAAGTCAACTCTTCACTGTCTTTATTTATAGTTTCATTCTTATTAACTCTGTTGTTCAATTGACTTTCAACCCTGTGATTGATTGAAATGTTTATATAGGTTCGTAGATCAGATCCATGTTGATGTGCCTGATGACTGTCAATGGGTTTGAATCCTATAAGTCTCGGAATGTTTAAGTTAAGATATTATCTATATCCAAGACCAAAGGATGATAACAAAACACTCAAAGAAGATCAGTCACTGAAAATATATATACGTATTCCTGTTAGTTTCTATAATTACCCATATGGATTTTTGAAAAGGTTTATGACCCGTACGAACTCATGGTTACATACTGTTGAGGCGTAAACTGTAGTATCTATCGATGTGCTTCATAAAATCTAATGATTATTTGATTATTACCATTATTATCTACTTAATAGTTCATTATCACTGACTAGTGTTGAGGATCATCAGTGCTTGGAGTCACTAACTTATGGTCTGAGCAATGTTGGTAAATGCAGACTACTTGGTTAGAGTCCGCGTGACTATCGTAACCAATGGTTGGAGACTCTTGGTGACATGGCTCAGAATCGATCACAATGGTGTAGGTGTATACAGTCTCTGTCTTCCATTAAACTATGAGATTAAAATCGCTTCATATCTTTCTTTCTATGAACTAATTCTTTCTTCCTGTATCATATCCTTATACACAATCTTTCTTTTATATATTATCACCATTGAATTACCTACTTTTATGAATCCGGTGTTCATGTTGTTGTATTAATTAGGTATGGCAACTTGAACCGATGTACATATATGTGTCTGGTTCTACGTTGTAGCTGACTGACTGGCTGACGTAATTTTGTTATATCAAAACGTCTCTTCGTTTTTTATTAACCAGTTATTCTCTTATCAGATTTTCATTCATTATTAGCTTATGTGATTTATTCGGATTTGTGAATATGAAGCCAAATTAATTGTGTCCCATCAGGTAATCAATTGCATAATTCATATAACACATAATATCTTGTTAGCTATAACATACCGATTACCTGTCCAAACTTTCATTTTAGTATACACTACTTAAATACAGTTTCTTTTTTACTATGATTAAAGTTTATCAGTTTATGTAGAAAATACTATTCAGATTTATAATGAGTCAGTCAGTCAGTCAGCTACAACATAGGACCGGGCACATATATGCATCGGTCCAAGTTGACGTACCTCATTAGCACAACAAGATGAACATCGGATTCATAGAAGTAGTTACTTCAATGGTAGTAATATATAAAAGAAAGATTGTGTCTAGAGATTTAGTACAGGTAGAAAGAAAGTTTAAGGGAAGACAGTGAATGTATACACCTACACCATTATGATCGATTCTGAGCTATGTCACTCAGAGTCTCCAACTGTTGGTTACGATAACCACGCGGACCCCAACCAAGTAGACTTCACCTACCAACAAAATTACGTACTTATATATACAAAATGAGAAAACGATGATTAAAATCTACTGAAAACGTCAATGATTGTAACGATCACATTGAGTGTATAGTTTATCAGCCTATGGAATTAATACCTAATTATCAGGTTTTGTATATTATCCATCACATTATATTGTAAATAGAAATGTAAGCGTAACATTGTCTATCCATATACAAGTGAATATATATTCAACGTTATAACTTACACCTTTTCTAATAAGTTAACATACCATATCAAAAAGAGGTTTTTGTGGATATTATAGTAATTTTTAATAGTTGAGATCATGAGTCAATTGAAGTTAGACCATCATGGAAAACTTGGAAGTATTGGATGGCTTTTTCATCCTATCGTGGAACTCCTTATCAGTATGCAGCCATGATCAGTCAAAATGCCAAGATACTATTTGATCAAATGGGTGAGCGGATTTCTTGGCAAAATCCAAAACCTGTTATCTTAAATCTGATTGGTTCGTCCATAAATTATCGTCTTGTAGTGAACAAGCACACGAGTGGAGACAGCCAGACGTATATGAATATGCAATTACAGTACATCTTATTATAATCTGTGAATCATACAGTAAATACTTCATTGAACAAAATATCTATTAATTGTCTCAAACTTGACTGTTCCTTTTGCAAATATCAATTCATCGTCTCAGATTTTTAAATGTTCCTGCATTTTCATACCAATTGCTTTCCGTTCCCATTCTTGCCTTATCGATCTTCTACTGAAATACATTGTATTGCTGATAAGCGTCATATGCTACTTATTTGAATATAAGTAACTCACATCATAGTCTTACTAAATGAAATGGAATTCTAAGTGAATTAAACTAGTTTATTTGTACACATTATTATATGTAAACAAAATAGGAAGGTAACTAACAACATAGTTATGCTTATTGTATAATCAAAAATAACATTTGTAGACATAGTGGATGGAAGATATGGTTAATTATATTGAAAGCCATTTATATAATCCACACGTTTTAGTGATTTACATCTTGTGAATTCGGCTTCTTTTTCTTCTTTTTATTATTATGTTGAGGGGTCTCACAATGAGACGAAACGGCCGTCCAATGTTTCCAGGTTTTTCATGGTGGTCTAGCTTCAATGGACTCATGATTTCAACTAATGAAATTACTATAAAATCCACAAAAACCCCTTCTGATATTAATCAATATATGCTCACTACTGACTGACTTCAATAGGTATTTCCTGGAGTTCTAAGGAGAAGCAGTGACTAGTGGAGTTCAACCGGGTCTGTTGTGAGATAGTAATTCACTGAAGACAATAGTAGATTTGTCGCTCAATTTCGTGGATTAGTTGAAGTTAGACATTAACATCGTTGGATACCGGCCAGCTTAGTGGCCTAGAAATTAAGTGTTCACGCGCGAGACTGATAGGTCCTGGTTCGAATCTTGCGAGTTGGAATCGTGAATGTGCACCGTTGAGGAGTCCCATCATAGGACGAGACAGCCGTCCAGTACTTCCAGGTTTTCAATAGTAGGTTAGCTTAAATCAACTGATTGATTCAACTGTTGAAATTACTACAATCTCCACAAATCCTCATTTCATTATAGGATAGTTCTAAGAGTTTCATTTCTCTCAATCATTTACTTATATCTAACGAGTCTCTATCCAGATTTATTGATTGATCCTGTGTGATCAAAACTTCTTAGTTTTCAATTTATGCTCTTGTTAATATCAGTTCATGATGAAACGTATATGTGAATTATACAAAATATCATATGAGTAATAATAATAAATTAAAACCGTAATAAAGTGAAAGTACAATTGGGTAATGACCAGTAGTGTAATCTACAGTTCATCTCACTTCCTAATTAGAACTCATCAAATGGATATTTCTGCATCTCATTGATGCAGAAATGGTCAGCTTTCTATCTGTTAGGTCCCGATAAGCATAACGAATAGTAACTTTTGGGATCCATTCCAAAACAAATCGAATTTCAGGAACTGATTGCATTCACAATTGATTACTGTTATCATTTATTATTATTTAAATAAATAAACATGGATACACGGAAGCACCAAACAGGTATGCGCCACATAAATCTCATTTGATTTGTGCGAGGGCTGTAATACTGCCCGGCTGCCCAAACCGAAGCAGGTGGTTTTCTCAGGTGGCCGCACTCAAAGCCTTCGACCTAAAGGTCTAATCCACAAGGCAGTGAAGCAACTTTAGGAGATGCAGTCCCATGGTAGCCGGTGACAAACGATTGGTTCATACGCCACTAGTTTCTTCAGGATACTGGAGCGTATGTGCACCATTAATTTGGAATCAGAGTTTCCTAACTCTCCTAGGTGGACCCTCCGTGTCCACCAATCCGGGCATTCTCTTTTCATTCTCTAAATTTCGTAAACAACAATAATCTGCGAGAAGTAAGTGGGTAGGACTTTTGTGACAGTGGTTGTATGTACGTGGCCATGTGAGAGCTGACTCTTCCCACTCTCGGCCGTACCAGAGCATTTGTGATAAATTTTCTAACAAATATTGAAAAAGGTAAATGAGTCGATAATGAATCATATTATCAGTGTTACTATTTTCTGAACAAGTATGATTGGCGTATTTTTATAGCAAGATTGTTTTCTATGAGATGAGATTGCTGATCCCATAAAAAATCCTCATTCTTTATCAAGGCTTGAGATCCGCAATAATCCTAGAAGTTCTACAGGTGAATTTGACATCATACTAAATTCATAAACTAGACTACACTGCAATGTCATGCATAAAGTACAACTGACAGACACATTCCATGTAAGAACCAGTGTCAGACAAATCTGCTTACTATCTTTCTTTCTCTTTCACAATGAATCTTTCATTATGATTGAGATATCTAATGGATCATATTTAGATCCATTTTTGAATTCATTGTTAAGAGTTACTATGTAGTCTTGAATTAAGACTAAACAACTAAATAGTGTTATGTAACTTTCAATAATCTGTAGTGACTTACTTTTATCATGAGAACGCGATTGGTTTAATGGAAACAATTATTATTATAATCAATTGTACTAGTGACTGTTTTACTGTACTTGTTTGTTTAACTGTACTAAAGACATCCTTCCATTGATTGTGATCTTGCACGAACTTACGTTTGCTCATTGAATCCGCTTGTACTTCAGTGAACAATAACACGGGTGAGGACAAATGGACGAATTAGGCACAACATTTACAGACTATCTCAACAAAATCCAAATACCCTATAGTAAATCGTCAAATTGCAAAATATTCATGCATCAAATCAAACTAGACCGTTTCTGTTGCAAACACCAATCCATTGTCTCCCATTCCATTGTTCATGCGTTTTCTTACAAATTCCATTGTGTTCTCGCTCTTCCTTTCTTGATCTTCGCCATCTTCTGCTGCCAGACATTACGTTCTTTTAACGCACGTTATATAATACTTATATCAATATAAGTAGCTCACACCACAGTACCCCTTTGTCACGATCTCGGTATTCCTTCGGTACCACGAGATCGCCAACGAATAAATCTTGACTACGACCATCAACTGCCTTCTGATATTTGGCTTACGGAGGATGTTATCGGTTAACTGGCACGTAGTCTTCCTGTAGTTGTGATCATAGTCAACCGCGACTCGACGCCACACTACAAACCTTATTGTAAGTATTAATAAAAAAAAATGTTTGTTTAATTAAAAAAAAATGAAGACGTAAACACACTTATCTTATTTTTCATTGTAGGAAGTTATGCTGGTGAATATAAAAATGGTGTACGTGAAGGACTTGGTGTACGTACATCTATACCATATGGGGAAGTAATAAATTTTTTCCCTGAAGAAGCTGCTATTGCTGCAGAAATTGCTTTAGATATTAAAAAACGTACAGCATTACAAAATTTATTAAATTCAACACATCATACTCATCATAATATTACTAATACTGATAACAGTACACATCATATTGTCAATAATAATAATAATAACAATACAGGAACACGTCGTGGAAGTCTTCTAAGTCAAAGATCTGGTGATGTAGCTGAATTAGAAGATCCAGAATTAAGTGGACAAGATGATAATGAAGATGAACCATATTTTGGTCGTCGTCCAAATCCATCAAATATTCATAATAAAGATTTTAAAGAATTACGTATGTCATGTAAATTTAAATGTGGTTTTGTATTATCATCAAAACGTAGTGAATTAATGTTAAAACGTCAACAAAAATTAAATCATATTAGTAGTGGATCATTAATGAAATTACGTAAAGAATTAAATCATAATAAAACAAATTGTCGATCAAAATCATTAACAAATTTATTTAATCATTCATTAAGTAAAGAATCTATTGCATGTGTTCGACGTCAAGGCAGTGTAACAGAACATTCAACACGAGTAAAGATTAAAATGGAACAAACACCTGAATCAGTATTTACATTAGATCAAGTATGTTACTGGTTTACTTTCAGTGTTAAATTTTTGGTTAACATACCTTTTTTTTGGTGGGTCAGTTTTTTACAAGATGGGGTGGCTAACTCCATGCCTAACCCTCATCCTTTCTCCGGGCTTGGGATAGGCAGCAACTCCAGAAGAGTTTCAGGTGGAATTTCACTGTTAAATACAGTCTTTAAATAACATTGAAACAATCAGTTGATCTAAGTTGGATTAGTGTTGAAAACAGAGATATATTGAATAACCGTTTTTGATCCTATCATGGGACTTCGTAACAGTACTCATCCACGACACTTCATGTGTAAGTCGAACTCAGGATCTTGAATGTTGAACGCGTAGCTTTTAAGTCACTGAGTTGAGATCCAGTGGTTTTAATGTCTAACTTCAATGGAATTTAACAATCTCCAAAAAACTTTATTAATGGTCTTTAAATAGATAAATAAATGTTAATGCTTATTGTAATCATTAGAAGTGAGCTAAATTGAATTTGTTTGCAGAATACGAAATTAAACTAGAGTGTGGAACTTCAGGAGATTAGAATTGGTAACTTCAAATGTTTAGTGACAGCTGATAGTTTGTAGGTGGCATACACGTCAAGTTCACTTGGTATTGTTTACTTGAATCTTTCCATTGATGTATAGGACTCCAATTGATCAGTCTCTTATTGACATATGTATATTCAGTGCAGATTACCGCGATGCTGCCTTGATTCACAAGTATTATAAGCAAAGATGGATATTAGCTAGTGGTGGAATCTAGAGTGTGTGTTTAGTCCCATTTGGGACTCATCAGCTGGATGTGCCATCATCTCACAGTTGATGTTCACTCTGGGACTCGAACCCAATACCGTTCGCTTCAAACACCATCGCGTTATCCACTTAAGTACTGAGTCCTGATAGCCACTGGCTTGTGCAGTGAAGTGCAGATACATCCAGCTGACTAGTAGGATATAGAACGTAACGCGAGTCCTGGATTCCACTGCTGGTCACCATCCGTCTTTGCGTATAACTTACACGTTATTTAGTTATATACATTTTAAATTGATTGAAACTAGTCTATTATGTTATGATATTTGAATTGAAGTGGAGAAGCATAGTGAACTTACCCAGTCTGATGCAACGTGAGTTGGTATAACAATGATGACTCGTTTATAAATTTGCACAGGAGGTGTAGAAATGTTGAACACAATTAGGAATCATTACTTTCCCAGTTACAAATTTTTAGTATGTTCCCATTGTTGTATGGTGAATGATATAGTATCATCCAGCTCATTTCAGCCCTCTTTTCAAGTCTGAAGTATAGTGCAGTATTAATTTCTCAACTATTACATTAATGGGAATAAAATAGCTATGTCATACTGCACATTCACTATTGTACATCAATATAATTTACATTAAAGACTAATGTCAGTTGTATTGTGGTTCATGCTACTTATGTTGACGAATATAAGTAGCATGTGACATCGATTAGAAGTTAAATGTCTGGTAGCAGAAAGTTGAGAAGATAGAAGCAAGGAGAATAGGAATGTAAACAAACAGTAATTATAATAACGACTGGAATGAAGAAATGATGAAGTTTGTAAGAGACAACTGATAGATGTGTAAATGAAGTATTTAATGTCTGGTTTTCATAATTTACAAAGACTATCTGTCATTTTGCACCTCAGACAATGGAAGATGGTCGCGCAATTTCGTAGATTAGTTCAAGTAAAACGATAACACAGTTGGATACCTGCTGAGTGGTCTAGAGCATAAGCGTTCACTCGTAAGACTGAAAGTCCTGGGTTCGAGTCCCGCGTGAGGGATCTTGTATGCGCACAGCTGAAGAGTCCCATAATAGGACGAATCGGCTGTCCAACGCTTTCAGGTTTTCAATTGTGGTCTAGCTTCAATTGACTCATGAATTCAACTCAAATAATTTTTATTTGGGAAAATTTTACATTTCGCAATGCTGTTAATCTTTGTTCATTTTCATTTAGCGAGCTGATATACTATTCTCTTAGGTTAAACCTATCATTTATAATATTTATTAAATTATCATTTAAAAATAATTGATTATAATCAAGATGGGGATTTGTGGAGATTGTAGTAATTTTAACAGTTGAATTCATGAGTCGATTTATGCTAGATCACCATCGAAGACCTAGAAATACTGAACGACTGTTTCGTCCTATCATGGGATTCCTCAACAGTGAACATCCACAATCCCACACCAAAGAGACTTGAACACAGGACCTTCAATAGCGCATGTGAACGATTAACCTGCAGACCACTGAGACGGCATGCGACGGTGTTACTGTCTAACTTCCATCGACCCATGATCTCGCGCCACGCTTCCTCGATTATCTGAGGTTGATAACTGTCTCCACCCGATACGGATTACACTTATCGTTTATAATGCTTATTAAGTTATCATTTCAAAACAATTGATTATAACTCAGACCTACACTAAGTGAAGAGATTTTAGCTGAAATAAACTCTCCAAGGTATTTACCAGTGACTTTCGAAGATGTTTGTACAATGCTGCAAAATGACAAAAGTTAAAAATGTAAAATATTTGTTACCAACTTATTTGTGTAAAAGTTGAAAATTCGCCATGAAACTTGAAGGTTCTGGATTCCATCCTCGAGGTCGTGGATGCCCAGTGTCAAGGAATTATATATTAGAACGAAACAGCTGTTTAACCCTTCTTAGTTGTCAATGTTTATCAATTCGTAGTGCAAATGATAGGAAACATCACTACAGATTAAGACGAGTTACGTTGGGTACATGAAGTAATAACACTCTATAAACTTACAAGTAATAGGAAGTTGATGTTTTTGAGATATTGTCTTCATGAAATAATATAAAGTGAGTAACTTATACTTTAAAATCATTCAGTAGTCTTTAGCAACGACTCGACTGTATTTCTTGTCGAATTATTCTTTTGTTGAAAAACGATACCTCGAATTAACTGAAGTAATAATTGTAAACGTTTGGATTCTTTATCAGTGATCGGTACTTAATGTTCTTATATATGTATATATATTTAGGTAGATGCTATCGATCCTGAAACAGTTGAAACATTTGCTGGTCAATGGGAAGCTGATTCACGTCATGGTTATGGAGTATGTGAACGATCTGATGGTGTTATTTATGAAGGTCAATGGGTAAAAAATCGACGACATGGTTATGGTCAAACACATTTTCCTGATGGAGTATGCGAACAAGGAAAATATCAAAATGGTAAATTAGTATTTCTTTCTTGGCCAAAAGGAGCGAAATCATATTTATTATTATATAATTATCATATTATGCGTGAAGTGGCTAATGCTGTAAAACGTGCTAGAAATATAGCTGATGATGCTTTCGCTAAAGCAAATGAAGCTAGAGAGAAGTAAGAAGTGATTTTTTGTTGTTGTTTAATTTCATTTATTTCTGCTGATAGATATTGATTAATTTGATAGTTAAGTTCATGAGTTATTTGAAGCTAGACCATCATGGAAAACCTGGAAACACTGGACGGCCGTTTCGTCCTATTGTGGGACTCCTCAGCATTGCGCATTCACATGAAAAAATTCTCGGGGTTCTCATCAGAATCAGTGACCAGTGGAGCTAATCCGTGTCGGGTAGAGACAGGTATATACCTCAGTACAATGGAACATGGTCGCGAAATTTCGTGGATTGGTTGAAGTTAGACATTAACACCGTTGGATGCCGGTTGGCTCAGTGGTCGAGAGGTTAGGCGTTCGAGCGCGAGACTGAAGGCCCTGGGTTCAAATCTCGCGATGCGGGATCGTGGGTCCTCACTACTGAGAAGTCCTGCAATAGGACGAATTGGCCGTCCAGTACTTCAAGTTTTCTATGGTGGTCTAACATCAATCAGTTCATGATCTCAATCAAAAACTTAATAATCTCCACAACCTTATGTTGATATTTATTTTCTTGTTTCATTTGTCTTCTATTAATTTAGTTTGGCTAAAGTTGAGAATGCAGTGCAACTTTCGAAAAAAGCTGCTGAACTAGCTCGTGATTATTCATTAGAAACACGTGAATTGGTCAAAGAAATGTATCCCGATTTTGAACAACCTGGTAATTGCTTGTTCTATCGTAAAATTCTAACTACTTCGTTTCATTTCACATTAATCTCCAAGAACCATTACAGTTCATCCAGATGACTCTGCCAGGGATTAAACCCCCATAGTCTTTGGGTCTCGAAATGAATGACTAACTATTAGGATCAGTTAGTTAGTGTCTAAGGGTACAATCCCCCATTAAATCCAGTATCATTGATGAAGAGTATCTTACTGACGATATATAAGAACTAACTTGTAATTTTATTGAGATCATGAATCGCCCCAAGTTAGACAAACATCTAAAACTTGGAAGTACTGGATACTCGTCTCACCCTAGCATGGGACTCCTAGACAGTGGAAATCAAAGACTCAACATCCAAGGACCGGATTCAGGACCTTAAGTCTCTAAACTGCAGAGCTGATATCCAACTGTGTTAATTAATTCACTATATTGAGCAACCTTTATAGAACACATAGTATAGATAGCTGCCTCACACAATCTCGGTTTAGAGAATATTATTTTGGAAGAGGTTAAGAAATGAGGCTCTACACATAGATTTTATGTTACTTAATGTTCATGAAATGTGTATCATGTACGAATAGATATTCTGTTTCAAACATGGAATGGGCAATGTGTCTAGCGTTATTTCTTTCCATATCTGAGTTTGTATAGATTGTGATTTTGATGTTTGTCGAAGGATCATTTACTGTACAATTTGATAAACTTGACCAGTAAAGGAATATAACTTCAGGACTAAATAATACGCAAATGATGCTGGTGAGTGAATGTATTCAGTTTTCACATACGACAAACTGGTTTCGGTAAGATTTCAGTACACAACACACGGCAGTCTAACACAATAAAGTTTCAAAACAAACTTAATAATAATCTAAAGTTCATTTTGTTTTAATCCATGTTTACATTGAAACCAAGTAAAGTACCTTTGATTTAGGAAAGGTTATGTAGAGATTGATTAAGTTTTCAAGTTATATTCGTTGGAGAGATTCAGAAAATTCTTCGAAAATGCCAAAATGGTTTCTGAAAACGCTAAGAAGCATCTTATCCAATCAACATCCAATAGATTATTATCATTATTATTTGAACACATAGATATTGGTGCAAGGAGGCACCAAATAAATATGCACCACACAAATCTCATTTGATTTGTGCGAGGCCTGTGATACAGCCTGGGTGCCCAAACCGAAGCAGATGGTTTTCTTAGGGAGCCACATCTGGAGCCGTCGACCTGAGGGTCTGGTCCACAAGGCAGTGGAGCGACTTTAGGAGATGCGGTCCCATGGTAGCCGGTTACCAACGATTAGTTCATATGCCATTTGTTCCCGCAGGATACTAGAACCCATGTGCACCACTGGTTTGGAGTCAGGGTTTTCCAACTCCCATAGTTGGACCCTCTGTGTCTACCAATCCGGTTAAAGTACCGGACATTCTCATTTTCGTCCTCTCGATTTCGTAAACAATAGTAATGCCACAAGAAGCCAGTGAGTAGGACTTCACTGGCAGAGGCTATATACGCGTGGCCATGTGAGAGCATTTCGAGAGGGAGGACGGACTCTCCCCATTTTCGGACGTACCAGGGCATTTGGGGTTTTTCCAGAAACATCTAGAAAGTGAAATGTCACATGTCGAGTTTCTGATTGGATGATTACCCATGCTGCTACTATGTTTACTAGCTTTCCAGAAATTCCGGGAAGCCAAAGTCCATCTATAATAGTATAAATACCCTCGATTTTCTGTACATAAACAAATCTCGGAGTGAAGCGTTTCTTTCATATTTTGTGCCTTTTCTCTCGAGTTCAAGTTGCCGTGTAGATTTGGCCTGGGAGTTACTAGGAGAGCTAGGAACCTAATCTAGCGTTCAATTAGAAAACTTATTAATATTTTTCATAAAATGATCTCAAATGGGGAACCATTAGAAACCAAATAGGCACTGATGAGCTGTTTATCGTCAGTATGAAATCCATTAATAGTTAGTGCTTACGATCGAGATTGGAATCAAACACAGGACCTTTAAAACTTCTGTACGGATCTTGCCTTTTTTTTGTAAATAGTAATCTCGTTGTTCACTAATGTAAAAAACTCTTAACAAGCAAGAAGCGTTGAAGAATTGTTTAGATTCAGTTTATGAACTTCAAAACAGTCACAACTCTGACCTGTGGAATCATCCAAATTGAAAATTAGACAGTAACACATCACTAAACGAAATCCGTATTGTATTAAATCAGAAGAATAAACCACTGGATTTTGACGTAGTGGTTTATGGGTATTATGGGGACTATAAGTTTCAAGAAATACATATAACCGTGATCAGTGAAGTCCAAACTATGTTAAGTGGAGACAGTTATCCAACTCAGATAGTGAATGAACGGTTTAACAATATCATAGATCCATTGAAGTTAGACACTGAAATCATTGTATGTCAGTTTAGTGGTTTACAGGTTAAACATTCTCATACGAAACTAGAGATCCTAAGTTCAAGTTTCACATTTCGAATCGTGAGTGTATTCAGTTGACAAGTCCCATACTAAAACAAAACGATCATCCAGTCCTTCAAGGTTTTCAATGGTTGTCTAATTAAGGTTAACATATGGATTCGTTTTTTAGCGAGTTAGTTTTCTACAGGATGGGGTCGCTAACCCCATGCCAAACCTTCCTCCTTTATCCGGGTTTGGGACCGGCAGTAGCCCCCGGAGGGACTCCAGGCGGAGTTAAGTCATGAATTCAAGTAATTTTTTATTATTTCATTATTTAATGATTTCTTTATTGAACTTTTCTAAAAGGTATAAAATATTTAGAAGATATGGTACGTCTTATGAATATAACAAAACGTGGTAATCAAGCATTTGATACAGCACTTCAATCAGCTAAAGATGTAATAGCTACTGTTGAAGCAAATTTAATTGAACATAATCAATCACAAAAACAAAATTTAGAAGATAATCATGAACAAAATGATCTGAACTATCCATCATTAGATTTGGATTCAATGAAACCAGTTAATAATAGTGGTATTCCATTATCTAGAGCTGGTTCATATCGTTTAAAACGTCATAAGAAACATCATTCAGCTAAACATAAACATGGAAATGATAAGATCCATTCAATTGAAATGAAGAATATTGAATATACAGTAGGTTTATTATTCATTATTACTATGATTATTTTCGAGGCCAACATCTAAGACCTGTTATTCGTAAATCTAATTGGTTCATCTATAAATTATAGTCTTGCCTAGAAGTCTACTTGAAGTGCTACTTGGCACTCGTTAGCAAGGTGTATCTGGTGCTCTCTGACGGATTCCATCCCGCGTCATCAAGCTTCACGGTAAAGACGTAACCAAAGAGCTATCCGGGCCGCCATACATCTTAAATTCTTATTAGAGATATATATTTTTATGATCAGAATGGGGGATTTTGGAGATTGTAATAATTTTAATAGTTGAATTCATGATTCATCAGAAGACGTGACCAGTGAAGTTGGGTGTGAAACAGTTATCTACTTGAAACAATGGATGAAGGGTTGAGTAAAATCATGAATCGATTGAAGTGAGACATTAACACTGTTGTATGTCATTTCAGTGTTCTACAGGTTAAGCGTTTGAATGTAACACAGAAATTCGTGGGTTCGAGTCCCATCGGCGTGGGATCATGTACGCATTCTGCTGACCAATCCCATACTAGAACGAAACGGCCGTTCATCACTTCTAGGTCTTCAATGGTGGTCTAGTTTAGACCGACTCATCAATTCAACTACGAAATTCAGCACTAGACAATTTAACAATATAAAAGAATGAAATAGGAAGCTGTTAAAGAAAATCTATTAGAATCCTTTTTTCGTTTAAAGGAGAAAGTTTTCTTTTCTTTTACGTTTGATTGATAACAAACTATTGTTATTCAATTACATTTATTCCCTGCAAATAGAGTTATGTAATATGCTATCAGGACTCAGTAGCTAAGTGAATAACACGATAGCGTTTGAAGCGAATGTCACTGAGTTCGAGTCCTAGAGTGAACAAAAACTCTTGGATGCAGGTAAATCCAGCTGAATACCAAATAGGACTTCGTTAGTATAGGCTATTCAACATTCGACTAATCATTCATGTAAATAAAATGTAAAATACTCATACTATTAAGATGAAGTGAACAAAGTTGATTCTAGTTTTCTTCTTTTCGTCTGTATCTTTTCTTCTCTTCTTTAGGTTAAGTTAATTCAATTTGACATTGGCATTATGATCACTACTGTCATAACATCTGTAAAGAGAACATACTGTAAATTATGGGAAATAGGAACAGGATGACTGTTAACCGTCATGAGATCTTCTTCCAGCTTTATATTTGTTCAGAAAAGAAAAAAAATTTCATAAGAGTTCAGAAGATAAGCTGGAGTTACCTGAAAAGGATATTGGATTAGAGGTGGTCTTAGTGATCTGAGAGCGTGACCGCAATGCCCAAGCGACAACTGCTTGAAGTCAGTCATACACGACATTTTTGTGAGTGATCTTCGTGTTAGCTCCGTACTTGTTGAGATCTTACCACCGAAGATGGATATCCGTGGGATAAGGTGGGGTGTGCATTTTTAGGATCGACCTTTCCTAATATCAACCCTACTTGTAGGAAGGCAGCATCTCTGTTATGCTGGTTATCTGCCATCACACCTCTGTACAGTCAGCAGTACGAAATCACCGTCGAACCTTGGGTTTACTACTTTTAATCTTACAGTTCTTTAACCAACCTGTTTGGTATGGTAGGCCCTTGAGGAACGATTGTTGCAGTCAGTATATCTCGATTAATTCATTACAATAGGAAAACCCGACTATTATATCAAGGTAGTAGCATCCATCGGGATGAAATTCCTATACTAGTCATTATTCTATCATCTCACTTAAATCTATTGTATATTCATGTCTTATCTTTCATTTCATTTTTAGACTGGAAATGATGTTGGCAAATCATTAACACTTCAAATACCACAAGTGAATGTTGATTGTTCATTTTCTCAACAAATAAATAATGATAAATCAATATTGAATAATCCTATGATGACAACAAAAACAACATCAGAGAATAGTTTACATGTACCAAATCTTAATTATTATAGTAATAGAATAGATAATGATATATCATCTGAATGTGATTCAATCGAAGGAGAAAGTCGTACAACACGTAGTTCATCAGAAGCATCAAATTATGTCATTTTACCAACATGTAAGTAAAGTTTATGTCATTTGGTATTGTTTGGCTTGTATCTTCCTATTAAGGTTTAAGACTGAAATTGACCATGCAATTATTTGTTCTAACAATTGTTCTAACCCCGACCGTTGTTGCAACCTTGACGTGGTTGTCGGGCTTGCCTATCGTGATATATTGGCTATATTGGCTGGAACAACCGTTCCTCAAGGTCTTACCATGCTAGACAGGTCGATTGAAGAGCATTAAGACTAAAAGCAACAAACCTAAGGTCGAAAAGCGAAGTCGTACTGCTGACTGTACAGAGATGTGACAACAGTGAGGTGTTTCCTTCAGACAACCAGCATAACAGAGATGCTGCCTTCCCACAAGGAGGTCGATCCTAAAAATATACACCTCACCTTATCCCACAGATATCCGTCTCCGGTGGTAAGATCTCGACAAGTACGGATCTAACACGAAAATTACTCACACAAAGATGTTGTGTGACTGACGTCAAGAAGTTGTCGCTTGGGCATTGTGGTCACACTCTAAGATCACTAAGACCACCTCTAATCCAATTTCATTTTTAGGTACTTGCAGAAGAATCCTTCCACGGTGTACACAACCGGGAAGTGATAACTGCCCTCATACTTCTAACAGCACACAAGACTAAGTTTGTTCTAACCTTTCTTCAACACTAGACTGAGAGTTTTACTTACTGGGTAGAAGAACAATGAATGCTCCACGATCAAACCATCTAGCTCAGAGAACAAAACCTCCTCAAAATGACTGGACATTTGTTACTAAGTCAGACGATTGGAAGGTTCGATTCCTAATAAAGTCCTACAGAGATCAATCTGTGACAAGTACTATCTATATTTACTTTACTCTTTTTTTTTCTTCTTTTCTTTGTTTATTTGTTAGTTAACATTCTCAAACCTCAAACAGAACCATTAACAATACCATTAAATAAATTAATGTCAAATACAACAGTAATGGATGATTATTTTGGACATTATAAAATCACACCAAAACAATCACCATCATTATATAATGAAAAACATTATTCTATGGAAAGATTAAATGAATCACAATATATACATGAAAACAAATCAAATATCTTCAATCAATTTATGGATTCTAAAATGAATCAATATCATGATCATGATCATGATGGTGATCATTCGAAAGCATCAAGTTATCATGAGAATTGTGAATCATCTAAAAGAATTGTACGACGTAGAACATTACCAGGATTTTTAACACAACCACCATTAGATTTAAGTAAATATTCAAATTTAACAATATTACAAGAAAATGGAATGACGGTAATGCACTATGTTGGTTATTATCATTACTGGTTAGCGTATTTTTTTTTTCTTGTAGCGAGTTAGTTTCCTAGGGTATATGGGCGCTAACAATGTGCCCAACCCTACTCCTTTATCCGGGTTTAGGATCGGCAGTAGCCCCAAGGATTCTTCAGGCGGAGTTTTATCATCATTACATAATAATAATAGTAATGACAAAACTATATAGACTTGATTACAGTAACGAAATTGTATGAAATAGTGTATTATTACAAAGTTCTCGCTTTATAAGCATTTAACTTGTAAATATTTAGAATGTATGTATAAGCCCTCTCGTTCGAGACTGAAGGTCTTCGCTTCGATCCTTGGCTTAGGAGCCTTAGATAAACACTGTGACTGAGGAGTTCTATACTAGAACAAAACTCCGACGTAGTGTTTTCAGTTTTAAAATGATTATCAAACTTAGATCGATTTGTGAATTCAATAATATGCATGACTAATAGTCATTTATATTCATCAGTAATTGTTTACAATCAGTCTTGCTTGCTTTGAAGTGAATGAGAACACAAATGGGTACAATTGAATGTTAGACCACCTTTGGAAACCTGGAAGCATTGGACGGCCGTTTCGTGGTATTGTGAGACTCCTCAGCAGTGCGCGCCCACGGAGTCCCACAATAGGAATAAACAACCGTCCAGTGCTTCCAGGTTTTCAATGGTGGTCTAGCTTCAATGGACTCATGATTTCAATCTGTGAAATTTCTAAAATCTCCATTAAACCCATTCTGATAACTATATATATGTTTGTTTTTTTTAAAAAAAAATTTTTTACATGGAAACTAAATTTAGCCTAGTAACAATACATCATTTACTATGTGTAATCAATCATCAAATTGGAATACTCAAAATAATTTATCAAATCATAAACTCATTATTGAACATGAACAATCTTCTTCTTCTTCTTCTAATAATAATAATAATGATTCTTCAGTGATTTATTTTACCGATAATGGTATACGTAAAAGAGCTCATGCTTATTCTTCTATTGATAAAGAATCATTATCACAACAAAATTTAATGAATAACTCAGGTAAATTAAACTTAATGAAACAAACATCTAAATTACGTAATTCAATGAATAAAGATATACAATCTTCATATTTAACTAATATTAATCATACTAGTATAATGTCTACAATGACAAATACATCACAACAATATTCTCATTTAAGAATGAATCAATCACCATTAGTTATAGCTAATGTAATGATTGAAGAACCACAAGATCAATTAACTCCATTACCAATATATTATAAAGAATCAAGAATTGATTTATCTCAAGTAAGTAGTGAATAACTTAATTGTTTTGTTTCTTCATGATATATATATGATGTGAATGACGAGACTCTAATTTATGGACGAGTCAATCAGTGACGTTTTAGAGATTCCGAGGTTACGGTGTCAACTTCAGTGCTTAATACTAACGTACAATCGGTTCACAGGGAATTTTGTATAAAACGTGATTATTGAACGGCTATAACAAATAAAACGGCGAGACTATAAGTTGTGGACGAATCAATCAAGTATAAGATAATAAATCTCAGATTTTAACGCGAAAGCCTTTCATCTATTTGACTAAATAGATTTCCGGCATCATAGCTGATGTCAGTTCATGATGAAAACCTCCATATATAATTCCTAACTAAGGCAAATTATGACAATTATTGCTATCTGGATAATAAAAGCACCAGTAACACTGGCTGCAGCCAGGTACTACAATATATACGGATGTTTTGAGAGCGTACAGACTCCCACATAGGCTTGCTTATGCGCATCGTGTCATTGTCCACATGTAGCATTTTGTGTACTCAACAACCGAAGTACACATAAACAATATTGAAACTATGTGGTCGAGGCTGAATGAGGTTTTGAGACTCTATCATCGCTCCAAAGGCCGACTATTCTGTAGCTGTATGGATGATTTCCTCTACTGCATGGATTACGATTTTAGAACCTCTGAACGTCTTTCTAACCTTGACAAGTTTTTGAACCACGTATAAGAAGTGTATCCACTTTATTTCCTTGGTTTTGTATAACATAGTTTTACTCTATACAAACTGTTTGCTGATTAGCTAATATTTCTCAATGTCACTCAGGATTCGTTCAGACGTCGTCCATAAATTAGAGTCTCGCCGGCGTAAATTTTAATTTTCTTGAATTTTCTCGACATAAGTAGTATATAACGCTAGTCACGAATAATAGAATGTCTGACATCAGAAAGTCAAGAATGGGAACAGAACGCAATTAATATGGTAGTAAAAGAACAGTGAAGTCTGTGACGACTGATTGACACTTTGTAAATGAAGTATTCACTGTATGATTCTCTGATTTTACTAAGTTGTTCTGTAATTTTATGTTGAAATAAATTCGATTGTCACCATTTGTGTTCTCGTTCACTACATTTGGTGTCGCTGTCAAGCAAGAGGGAGGAAAGGGTGCGGTTCTGCGGATGATGATGCGGGCCGTCAACTGAGGTGCTACTTGGTGTAGTGTGTGCTACTTATATCGACACTAGTCAGGAATAGGATGTCTCGGAGCAGAAGGTTAAGAACAACTAGGAGGAAAGAACGGGAACAAAAGCTATTGGTATGGAAATGAAGGAACAGTGAAGTCTAAGACGATTGATTGATATTTTCTAAATGAAGTATTTACTGTATGCTTCTTAGATTTTACTAAGAGATTCTGTAATTTTGTGTTCGAACACTACAGAAGTAGTGTAGTGGATGCCACTCACAAGATCATTTGTAAGTGGTGTGTAGGGGAACGTGACGTCAAAGTTATTACAATTGTCAGATGAAATGAAGAGTTTCAGTGCATTGGAGGTGCGGGGTTGACAAAATACTTGAAGACCAGATGAGAAGAATATTCAGATTGCAGAACACACTGAAAAATGCAATTAGTTGATTGAAGGCTATGCATATGTAATATATAAATACTACGTAAACTTCTCACGATAAATATACATTTCTGCTGCTTATTATCTTGCTTTGCAGCAGTATAGATATATCAGTTGGTTGTTTTAAAGGACATGATAAATGTAATAATCTTCAGTTTTCAGGCCGAAAGACAAGAGGTTAAGTAACCATTGTTAATCCATTTTATTTACAGTACTATGAAGATATAGTCTTGCTTTGAATATATCAACAAAATGTGCTTGACATCATTTACTTTAATAGAGAAGTTCTGTAATTCATGATTCGATATGAAGAATGGAACTTCAGATATAAAGAATTTCATCTTGATTTATTAATGTTCTGAGAATATTCTCTCAGATAATTTATTTATTTATTTGAACACATAAAATTGGTACAAGGATGCACCAAATAGATATGCGTCACACAAGTCACTTGATTTGTCTATGAGCTGTAATGTCCTGCTCGGGTGGCTAGACCGATTCAGGTGGTTTTCTTAGGGTACCACACCCAGAGCCTTCGGCCTAAAGGTTTGATTCGCAAGGCAGTAGAGCAACTTTAGGAGATGCAGTTCCATGGTAACCAGTCACCAAAGATTGGTTCATATACCATTAGTTTCTTCAGGATGCTGGAGTGCATGTGCACCATTAGTTTGGAATGAGGGTTTTCCAACTTCCCTAGGTGGATCCTCTGTATCTATCAATCTGATTAAAGCGCCGGACATTCGTTTTCCATCCTCTCCATTTCGTAAACAACACCCGTGGTGCGAGAAGTCAATGAGAAGGACTTTTGTTACAATGGTTGTATGTACGTGGCCATGTGAGAGAGCTTGTAGAGGGAGAGCTGGCTTTCGCCCATCTTCGGCCGTACCAAAGCTCACTAATTAATCACTTGTAGAATAGAACTGATGGTGAGACGATAATTTATGGATGACCACCTTTGAACGATACTAAAGAGTGACCTTGAGGGTTATAAACCAGTATGAGAAATTAGATTTAGAATATTCATCACAAACTAACATCAGCTATAATATCAAAATGTTATTTAACTAAATGTGTATGAATGAATTTTGCGCTAAAATCAAAGACCTGTTATCTGATTGGTTCGTTCATAAATCATTTTATCGAATTATTGATTATTGATTTTTTTCTTCATAGAATATTAAACGTGGAAGTGTTCCAGATGTGACAAAACAAAGTTCTACATTATCACCAAATGATTTATTAAAATTAGAAGAAGAACATAAAAGAAAATATGAGAATATATTAGATAGAAAACGTCAAGGTGAAATAGTGATACAACTTGTGGATTTTTTTGTAAGTCACATTATTCTCTTTGATTTTCTCTCTTTTTTCTTCTTCTTTTTTTCCAACTTTGTTTTTTGTTTTTTTAATTACTTCATGGAAATTTTTGTTTTGATCATGAACTGAACAAAGTTAGAGAACCAGTGAAAACTGGAATGTCAGTCAGCTACAACGTAGAAGCAGGCACATATATACATCGGTCCAAGTCGACGTACCTCATTAGCACAACAAGATGAACACCAAATTCATAGAAGTAGTTAATTCAATGGTAGTAATATGTAAAAGAAAGATTACATATAAGGATATAGTACAGGAAGAAAAAATTAGTTGGTAGAAAGAAAGTTTAAGGGAAGACAGTGAGTGTATACACCTACGCCATTGTGATCGATTCTAAGCTATGCTACCAAGAGTCTCTAAACATTGGTTACGATAGTCAAGCGGACCCCAACCAAGTAGTCTGCCTATAAGGATATAGTTCAGGAAGAAAGAATTAATTGATAGAAAGAAAAATCTAGGCCATTGTAGTCGATTTTGAGCCATGTCACCCAGAGTTTCGATAGTCACGCGGACCTCAACTAAGTAGTCTGCATCTTAACAACATGGTTAAGATTAGAAGTTAGTGACTTCAATGGCTGGTGCCACATTTGGGTTTGGCCACCTCTAACATTCTTCAAAACATCCTCAACACTAGTGAGCATTCTGTGTGGTGGTAATCGGTGTTCGGGCATACTCAACACGTGGTATGGGTTTCCTTAAAAATGCATATTCCCAACCTCATTGAGGATCGAACCCCATAATCATCAGGTTTCGCGATGGGCTTCTAATCTTTCGACCACTAGGCTATTTTAAAATGATTTATGTTGTCTAATTGTAATTAGTTTGTAGTATTGTATAATTATCTTTCATTGTTTTCGGTGGAATTCAACCCTGTTGAATGTGAGGTAGTTATCCATCCATCCCATTCATAAGTAATTGTATAATATCGTGAATTATTTGGAGTTAGAAATGTATGCTACTAGATGCCGGATCAGCGGTTTACATGTTAAGCACTCGTTACAAGACTGAAGTTCTTGGTTCGAGCCCTGGATACGCACTGTTGAGGGATTTCATACTACAAAGAAATAACTGTCCAGTGCTTTTCGGTCATCTAATGGTTACATACATCATTTTTAAGTTCAAGATAAAACCATATTGTTTTACCAATATATAATGAAACAAACCAATTATGTCATTGAACAACTATTGAAGACCATTCGACTAATTAGCTTACTACATTATACTCCAATTTACTGTATAATCATTATCATGGTAATTTAATGACTACAACGGTTTATTTGAAAATCCAAAATAAATAAAACAAAGAAACGTTCATCAATCTCAAGTGTTTCAAGATGATTACATAATGAAATAAAAGTTGAACAAAAACAGAAAGATGAAACTGAACGTATAAAAGATTTCAATAGTTGAGATCATGAGCCAGTTGAAGCTAGATCACCATGGAAAACTTGAAAGCACTAGATGGCCGTTTCATCCTATTGTGGGATTCCTGAACAGTGCACATCCACGATCCAGTTCTCAAAATCCGAACCCAGGACCTAACGCTTAGCATCTAGACCACTGAACCGGTATAACTTCAACTATTTCCCCATTATTAATGGATAGTTTATGGCAAATAAAATAATACTCTTGTAGCATAAACAGATTTTACACAATGAATTAATCTAATAATATGTTCTACAGACTACTTTGCCAGTAAATCCAAGTAATTCTATCTTAATGTATATAACAGAATGGGGGTTTGTGGAAATTGTAGTAATTTTAAGAGTTGAATTCACAAGTCATGAGAAGTCTTGACCAGTGTAGTTCAGTCTGTGTTACTTTTAGAACAGTTATTCAACTCAGACAATGAATGAAAGGTTGAGCAAGATCATGGATCGATTGAACTTAGACATTAACACTGTTGGATGCCGGTTCAGTGGTCCACATGTTAAGCGTTCACATGTGACACCGAGGTTCCTGGGTTCGAGTACTACGTGCCTGCTCGTGAACACACTCCGCTGAGGAGTCCCATAACAGGAGGAGAAGGCCTTCTAGTGCTTCCAGATTTTCAATGGTAGTCTGAGTTAAATCGGCTTGTGAATTCAACTATGAAAATACTACATTCTCTATAAATCCCCATACTGATGATAATTATATTATTGCAAGCTTCCAATGTACCTATTTGCTAATTCGACGTGTTGCCAATCAATTATGTGTCATTTCCATCTGTACTATTTAAGCTTGCATTAATTTTATTTCGGTTATTTGTTCACATTGAAGAAGTGGCTTACATTGAGTTACGAAACTTCAGAAGTACAATTTTCTACTCATTGAGAAATCATTAAGAGCATATTCATTATTAACTTTATACGTAAGTTATTTGAAGCTATCGAGTCCAACCTAGGCATTGATACTTATGTACAACTTACTTTACTCTCTGCAGTTCATGGCATATATTTACCAATCGCTTACTGTTTCTGTTTTTTGCTTCTCGACCTTCTGTTGCCAAACATTCTAATCCTGACTATCTTTATATAATACTCACGTCGATATAAGTAACACACACTACAATGCAACCTTTCCACTAACCGTAGTCTTAATCTCTAGTTTATCAAAATTATAACTATCCCTCTTATCTCCTTTCCTTGGATACATACCATTAAGTTGATAAATACCGGAAATTCAATTTTCTATTCAACTGACCCATGAATTCAATTATTAAATTACTACCATCTCCACAAAACCCCTCTGATCATAATCATCATATGCTCACTAGTGACTGTCTCCAAGAGTTATTTCTTGCAGTTCTAGTGAGAAACAGTAACCAGTGAAGTTCAACTGGGTCTGATGCGAGATATCAACTTACTGAAAACAATGATAGATGGTGGGCAGAACAATGTGGATTGATTAAAATGAAACACTAGCAAGGTTAAATTCCGACCGATTCATTGATCTAGAGGTTAAGCGTTCGCATGCGAGACTGATAATTCCTGGGTTTGAATCTCACGAGAAGAGATCGTGAATGTTTTTGCTGATAAGGGATCTTATACTAGGGTGCACATGGGCTCCAGTATCCTGCGGGAACAAATGGCGAATGAACCAATTGTTGGTCACCGGCTTCCATGGGACTGCATTTCCATACGATGCTCCACTGCCATGTGGATCAGACCTTCAGTTCGAAGGCTCGGGGTGTGGCCCCCTAAGAAAACCACCTGCTTCGGTTTGGGCACCCGGGCAGTATCACAGTCCTCACACATATCGAATGAGATTTGTGTGGCGCATATGTATTTAGTGCCTCTTTGTACCATTATCTATGTGTTGAAATAAATAAATAATACTAGGATGGAATGATCGTCCAATGCTTCAAAGTTTTTCATAGTGGTCTAACTCATGATTTCAACTATTTAAAATGACTATAATCTCTACAAAACCTCCCTGATCATTGATGTATATGTGGTAATTGTTTAGATTTAAGAAACATTCAAGTACCATAATAACTGATACAATTGTTGTTGTTATTCTTGTTCTTATTTTGTAGGATTGGTGCCGTGTCAATTTGTCCATATTAACATTTATATTAGTCAATTGTATTTTAGCTTGTTTCTTTTACATCATTATTTATAGTTGATAAAAAATTAATCATAATCCAACATAATTCCGGTGTATAAAATTTTTAAATTGTGAATCTATTTCCATGAGACAATATGAACTTTAAAAGAAACTAAAATGGATCTGATCAGATTGTGATCAACAAATTGTAGACACTTTCAAATCAATCATATTTGCTTTCTATTGAATTTTGCTCAATTCAATTGTAGTTCAAATTGTGATTATTTACCTTAATATATCATACCATATAATGAAGATTGTACAAAACAAGTAATTAAATTATATATATATCAAGACAGAGAGAGAGAAAGATTGAAGAGGTTGTTCTTGTGCCATAACTGTGATGGCAGATTTGAAGGTAGCGAATTATCGATCGGGCCAAAGACGCACAAACACGTAGAACGGCTTAGGGTTCTGATTGGTCCCGCTTCCTTATCTAGCCCAACAGTTGAGTCCAGAACGCAAGTCACAGCCTCGGATATATGAATCATCATTATATTTCAAACATACTTTGTTTATATACCAGTCAAACAGACCACAACGTACCATAAAATAGAAAATAACATTGTACAATATTGGCCAACAGGAAAATGACACGTTAAATGAATATTGACCAATAAGATGATACCACTTCATGTCCAAGGATAGCATTAGGCTTGACAGAATAATTTTTTGGGATATTTTCCTGAGTATCCCAACATCTTTTTTGTTTAAAATGACGGGTTTACCAGTTTGTTGAGCCTATTGAATACTGAACAATAGTCACAATTGATCGATCGCTGGGTGATGACTCGACACTGCGTGCACTATAGTTAGATTAAATGGTGGTTGGAGGTAGTCGACAGGAAACACTGGGCTGGTGGCCATATTGCATCATGGTCGATAGCATTCGATCTGCACTAATAAGGAGTTGACACACAGTGACATTGGTCACTACTCAGTGATCAATCAATTGTGATTACATCTCAAACCTACAGGAGGTTGGTCACGGCCCGGATAGCTCTGTGGTAACGTCTCTGACTGTGAAGCTGAGTGACACGGGGTCGAATCCGTCAGGGTGCACCAGTTCTCTCAAGATTACAGGTATACCATGCTGACGAGTGCCAAGTAGCACGAAACCCGGGTCCAGGGTTTCCTGTCGACTACCTCCAACCACCACCTAACTGAACAATAGTTTATAACTTAATTCAAATGCGTTATATGCAAATATAAATAGTGGTATCAGCAACAGTCTATTGTGGGAGAGAACAAACAAGATACCAGCGGAGGAAGAAGTCAGAAAGAAGCTCTGAAAGTGAATAGGACACACATTGATGAAAGCACCCAACTACGCCACAAGGCAAACCCTCAGTTGGAATCCCCAAGGCCAAAGAAGAACAGGAAGATCAAAGAACACATTATACCAAGAAATTGAGACAGATATGAGAAGAATAAATAACAATTGGATAGAAGTAGAAAAGTAGGCTCAGGACAGAGTGAGTTGGAGAATGCTGGTCGGCGGCCTATGCTCCATTAGGATTAACAGGCGAAAGTAATTAAGTAATGGGTAGTGGCTAGTAATGGAATCTAGGACGCGCGTTTCGTCCTTTTTGGAACTCGTCCGTTGGATGTACCTGCATCTCAGAGTTGATGTTCACTTCAGGACTTGAACCCAGTACTTTATGCTCTAAACTCCATTGCGTTATCCACTTAGCTGCTGAGTCCTGGTAGCCACTTGCTTGTGAAATGAGGTGAAGTTTATATTCACTTAGTATTGTTTGTTTGAATCTTCCCATTGACGTTTAGGACTGCAATGGATCAGGCTGTTATTGGCATATGTGTATACTGTGCGTATTGCCTTAACTCAAAAGAATTCTAAGTAAAGATGGATGGTGGATATGCAGAATACATACATTACAGACTATAAGTCTCTTATCTGATTTCTTTTTATTCACTTTCAAGAAATAGCTTGACAGTAGTGAACAAGAACACAAGTAGGGATAATCGAATGTATTTGAATACAGAATTAGCGTTAGCGTTTTCTTAGCGAGTTAGTTTTCTACGGTATGGGGACGCTAACCCCATGCCAAACCCTCTTCCTTTATCCGGGCTTGGGACCGGCAGTAGCCCCCGGAGGGACTCCGGGCAGAGTTAAATACAAAATTAAGGAATCTTTTAATAAAATCTGAGAATCATACAGTAAATACTTCATTTGTAAAATGTCAGTCAATTGTCTCGTACTTCATTGTTCATTCGTTTCCACACCAATCATTCTCTGTTCTTGTTCTATTTTCTTCGATCTTCTTAACCTTCTACCGCTTCTGATTGATTTATACTACTTATATCTATCGACATCAGTAGTATACACTACAGTATGAACTGCCATTATTTGACAGTATTGTATTTTTCACTGTCAATTCGTAAAGTACTTAACCCTCTATCGCATAAATTGATGAAAGCCAACTTCATATTTTGTATTATCAGTATTTGCCAATGTATGGAATAGGAAAGAATATAGGTAATCAATTGAAGTACTGGTTTAGTTTAATCATTTCAACTTTACATCAAAGATTAAACTAGTTCTGTTGTAAATGTTTAAATTACAGTATTGTCTTCTATGAACATTCAGGAATACACTTTGATAAAAGTTGTCTTTCTATTCTGAGGAGAATACTGACTATGTCTGAACTAACAATTTATGATAAGTAGAATTGAGAGTAATGAGGTAATCAAATGGCCGAAAGCAAATTTCCAACTGATTGTCAAAGGTATGTACATAATTTCGCTAGTATCGAACTAGATAAAGAAAAACTAGAAGTATTATCCCTAGATCTAAAATGTTGTGATACTCGTCATAACTGTAACCACATCGATACAGATATACAGTTCGAGAATCTTTATAGTCAGACACGTGATTTAGTTGTGAATTCTGATCGACAATTCGAACATTTTAAATCAACTCTTGTAGACTGCTGTTAAGGATGTGTTCCAATTTGTTGATAAGATCAAAAATACAAATACGTTGGGACTAAAGATGATGTCATTGGATGTGACATCGTTATTCACAAACGTCCCAATCATAGAGACTGTAGAATATATAGATGAACAGCTGATTGAAAATGAAATTGAAACTACTGTTTCTATTAATGTCGTGAAAGAGTTATTACTCAAATGCACCATGAATGTACATTTCAAGTTCAACGGTGAAATATATAGACAAACAGATGCTGTTGCAATTGGTTCACCACTAGCTGATATATTTCTAGCCAAACTAGAAAATGGTCCACTAAAAAAGATTATTTAAAACTTCACATTTTACTGTAGATACGTGGATAACACATTCATCCTCTGTAAAGATAATACGTCGCCGTAAGAGGTTCTTAGGCGATTTAATAAAGTGCATCCAGCCATTCAGTTTACATCTGAAGAAGAGAGTGATGGCCGAATAGCCTTTTTGGATGTTCTCTTGACTAAGAGAGCGGATGGATCGTTAAAAAGGAACTTGAATAGAAAAAGTACATGAACTGGACAGTATACGAATTTCCTGAGCTTTGTACCTCTTCAGTACAAACGAAATTTGATTAAAAACCTGAGTTACCGTATTTGCACTATATGTTCTGCTGATATAGTCGAACAAGAGCTTACCACCTTGCATAATACTCTTAGGGAGAACGGCTACCCTAGAAAGTTTATAATTAAATATATGGTCACGAAGGCGAAATACAAACAGTGAAGAAATCCCTGTTCATGCGTCTACAATTTAGAGGGGATGCGGCTAGCGAAATACTAACTCAGAGATTACGTAGGACAATGCATAAGTCTTTTAACGCCGGAAAACTACGATTAGTATTTTCTACGCGCCCATTAGTTACACCGAAGCTAAAAGATGAATTACCTAGAACGACCACCTCAATTTGTATTTATCAGTTTGACTGCTCCTTTAGAGCGAGTTATATTGGTCGAAGTTCTAGGAATTTACATTTTCGTGCTCGTGAACACCTTCCAGCGTGGCTAAATAAAGGTTCGATGAAGAAGGTGAACAGCTCAATATTGGCCCATTTAGTACAAACCGGTCATAGTGACAGTATAAACCAATCTTTTTCAATTATTTATAAGGTAATTTTTTGCCAAAACTGATCAGACTGAAAGTCCTTCAAACGGCTGAAGAAATAGCCATCTGGATGAACAAACTGGAGCTTTGCGTACAGAAAAAATATTTTCAACCACTCCTCCTCCCTTGGCCAACATCAAGGCTAATTAATCAATCGTAATCTTAACTATTGAATGACCCAATTTGACTACAACCTTTTACAGTCAATTGTAACTGTCTCTGTTATCTTTATTCATAAATCGTTGTATTATTATTCGTATTATTGGTTAAACATCATCATTAATCTCCCCAATACATGATTCATTCACTTTGCATTTATCCCTCCATATTACATCTTACTTATTTGATCGAATTGTAATTGCACTCTCTCTCTCACCCTATTTGACCCATATTTATTCTGATCATGGATCTTAACAATTTTTTTTACTTAACATATGCGCAGATTCAAGTTGACATTCTATATGGGTCATATTAACATTAACAATTTTATTGTAGTTTGTTTATCACAATCCTAAATTCACATGCTTTAAACAATGTACTATGCACTTAAACTGGCTATTTTTAGGATTATTAGTTTGGATATGAGATAATTATAGAAACTGAAGAGAATTTAACGAAATGAATATTATCAGAAGGGGTTTGTGGAGATTTTAGAAATTTTCACAGATTTAAATCATGAGTCAGTTGAAGCTAAATTTCTAAAATCTCCACAAACCCCTTCTGATAATAATCATCTGCTCACTAGTGACTGACTTCAAGAGATACTCCTGGAGTTCTAGTGGGAAGCCGTCACTAGTGGAGTACAACCAGGTCTGTTGTGAGATATCAGCTCACTGAAGACAATGGTGGCGCAACTTCGTGGATTGGTTGAAGTTAGACATTAACACCGTTGGATGCCGGCTCAGTGGTCTAGTGCTTGCGCGCGAAGCCAGTGGGTCCTGGGTTCGAGCCCCGTGTGGTGCGGGATCGTGGATGCGCACTGCTGAGGAGTCCCATACTAGGACGAAACGGCCGTCCAGTGCTTCCAGGTTTTCAATGGTGGTCTAGCTTCAATTGACTCATGACTTAAATCTGTGAAATGAATATTCTTCGTTCAAATATTAGTCTTTTAAACTAGTGATTCCCTATTTTGAATCGTTTGCTATAATGACACATGAGAAGGAAAGTAAAAGAGGAGTTGAAAGTCGATGTAGGAGGAATAGTAGGAATTGAAGAGGGAGGTTGATTATGAATACAGTGATCTTGAATGCTATTGAAAGTATGAAGACGGTTATCACTTCCCGGTTGTTTACACCGTGGAAGGAATTCCAGGTCTATCTAATACGAATTGTAGCAGTCACGAATAGATCAATAGTCAAAGCGAAAATAAGACAATATATACCCTTGAAGGTATTATATTGTAATTAAAATTCATTGTGTTATAATTTACAAAGTGATCATTACCATATGTAAACATCATATCATTGTTAGAAATCCATTGGTCATCAACTGGAGAGTATTTAAGCTACTATTGCTTATGAAAGAAGAATGTATTTGTAGAAATCTCAGCGAATGAATTTGAAGTAAATCCGACGTTTAGCCCGATAATCTGGTCCAAGCTTTTTCAAGGAAATATAATCGAACAGACCGGATATAAACAGGTACATGGTTCACTTTATACTGAGTAGGTCATCCAATTTCTGCTTACATCATTTACGTATACACACTTTTCACACCACATGTCTCTTAAACACAAATGCAATTACCTACTTTAAACACTGTTAACGTTGATTGCACCACCGTCCACCATTGTATTCAGTGAGTTACCATCTCACAACAGATCAGGTTGGACTCCAATGGTCACTGCTCCTCACTAAAACTCCAGGAAATACCTCTTGAAGTTAGTCACTAGTGAGCATGTGCGGATTAGCATCAGAAGGGGTTTTTGTGGATATTATAGCAACTTAATAGTTGAGTTTAAGAGTCAATTTGAGCTAGATAACCATGGAAAACCTGGATGGTCGTTTCGTCCTATCGTGAGACTCCTCAGCAGCGCACATCGCGACCCCGCCTCGCGAGATTCGAACATAGGACCTATCGGTCTCGCGCGCGAACGCTTAACCTCTATACTACTGTGTCATTAATGGACAAATTCACTTTAGAGTACATAACAGTTGATATGCATTTTGACATTATCTAGGAATCCAATATAATCATAAACTCAGTTTTCAGATTTACATAAATGTACATATGTAAATCAATCATCAAGGGATAAATCATATTGAGAATAAGTTAAATATTTACTAATTATGATGAATGTTAATCGAGGAGTATGAAAATCGACTAAAGTTAAGAATATACAGAACAGAGTTCCAACTGTGGTTGGTTGGTAAAATAATCTTCATGAAATAAGTCTTTAGTTTAACATTGTGATGAGAGTTGTGAGTACGTACTTCTTAGGAATCCTATTCTAAGGTGAATTAGATATCCAGTGTTTATTAGCTTCTCATAGTTCTATAACTAATGTCTCTCCCTCTCTCTGTGGTATTTTTAATTATTACAAATGGGTTAAGTAATGACGGTGTTCACTATTATATACAGAGTTTATAAGTGAATATCTACTGTACATCTAAGAGTTTGTGATTACTGAATTTTCTATCAACATTATTAAACTGACTATAGAATGCACGAACGTCAATACAATGATACGGATAACTTTCCATTATTTCTTAAAAACATACCAATGAAACGTCCTCATCTATTGGGTATGTTGCTTAATTGAACTATCTTTTTTACTCAGTTATACTTAACACACAAATACATTGAGAAATATTCTGTCTATTCAGTTGTACAGTTACTAAAAATCCAATATGTAGCTGATTACCTCGTTCTGAGGGTCTTTTGATTTAATTCGACATTAGTTGAGTTTATTCGTGTAAGTAAACGAAGAAGCGTTTGACAACGTGGATAAGAGAATCCCATTCGGCACTAGGGTGTACATGAGATCGTCAACATCGTACGGAATTCATACGCCTGACTACACTGCAATGTCATACATGGAGAACAGCTGACATACGAAATTCAAGTGGGGACCAATGTCAGACAAGGCTTCTTACTCTATCCATTTCTTTTTCTTCTGGTGGTTGACTGGATTATGAAGACCTTCACATTAGAGGGGAGGAACGGAATAAACTGGACAGTTCATAATGAAGTAGACGATTCGGACTTCGCAGATGACCTACCTCTTCTATCACATACACACCAACTAATCCAGGTCAAAACAATGTAGAATCAGTAGGCCTGAACATACACAAGGGAAAAATCAAGACCATCAAATACAACACAAAGAACACCAATACAATCACACTTGATAAAAAAGCTCTGAAACACTTGGAAACATCGCTGATGAACAAGGAGGATCCGATGCAAACGTAAAAGCTCGGAATAGTAAACCAAGGGCTGCTTTCCTACAGTTAAATAACATATAAAACTGAAAACAACTTTCAACCAATATTACAGTCGGAATCTTCATAACGAACGTCAAGACAGTCCTACTGTACAGAGCTGAAACGTCGAGAACTACTATAACCATCATGAAAAAAGTACAAGTATTTACAAACAATTGTCTACGCAAGACACTTAATGTCCGTTAACCGGATACCATCAGCAACAGCCTACTATGGGAGAGAGCAAACCAGATTCCAGATGAAGAAGAAATTAGGGAAAGACATTGAAAGTGAATAAGACACACATTGAGGAAATCATCAAACTGCATCACGAGGCAATCGCTAACTTGGATTTTTGGAAGTGAACAGAAAAGAGGAATGCCAAAGAATACACTTCACTAAGAATTAGAAGCAAATATTGAAAGAATGAATAGGAACTGGAAAGGATTGTTCAGGACAGAGTTGGATGGAGATTGCTAATTGGTGACCTATATTTCTCCACGAAAAGTAACAGAGTACCAACAATAATATGAATAACAACAGAGTGATCAAAACATTTCTTAATGTATAATTTGATTATTGACATCAACTGAAGAATTAAGGTGGTTTATAAACATAATAAATAAATAGACAGAAAAAAACCCACCGTAAACATGAACTTTTCCCACCTGTACAATGTCATAGAATAGTGAACAAGAATATGAGTGAGGGCAATCGAATGTAGTTGAGCAAAACATTATAGAATATCTCACTAAAAATCTGAGAACCATACCATAAATACTTAATTTGCAAAATATCAATCCTTCGTTTCAGATTTCATTGTTCCTACGTTTTCATACCAATTACCCTCCGTTCTCGATCTTCTACTGAAACACATTCTATGCCTGACCATCACAATTGATTGATCACTGGGTGGCGATCAATGTTATGCGAGTCTAGTCCTTATTTAGTGCAGATCGAAAGCTATCGACCATGTTGCAATTTGGCCACCATCGGATCTGCCAGGGAGTACCAATTCCCTCAAGATTACAGGTACACCTTGCTGACGAGTGCCAAGTAGCACGGAACCCGGGTCCAGGGTTTCCTGTCGACCATCTCCAACCACCATCTAATCTCAATATATAGTGCACGCAGTGTCGAGTCACCTAGACTGGTGACCACATTGCAACATGGTCAATAGTGTTCGATCTGCACTAAAATAAGGACTTGACACATATGACATTGATCACCACCCAAGTGATCAATCAATTGATTATCTCTAACCACCATCTAATGCCTGATCATCGTTATATACTACTTATGTAGATATAAGTAGCTCACACCACAATAGTACCTACTGAAAAATGTATACGAACTCGTAATACCATAATTCCAGAAAGAAGAAAACAAAAAGGGAAAACAATTAAAATCTCCAACAAGTTAATCTAATTCTCTATTTCATTTCTTAGATAATTAAAGTAAACAAAGGTGAAAGTATTACAGATGAGAAAGATTAACTAGGAATCTACATACATATACATACATACATACATATATAGATAGAGAAATAGTATAATACTAAAAAATGTATTATGCATATAGAACTTCTTTATTTTTATATTATTCTTTGTTTACATTTCTTCCACATAATCCCCTAATATTGGATTACGAATATCATCAAGACTTTGAATGATTTTAAGTTCGATTCGTGCAGATTTAGGAAGGTTTAATGATTCTTTTGAAGAAAAAAAAGGAAAGATCGATTTACATTAAACATAATTGAGGAATAACAGTGAAATATATTTGTAAAGAGTAAAATTAATGTTTGTACCATTGGAGACTCTTTGATAAGCACAGTGTTGAAGGTTAATTAACTTGGTGTTACCATTTCCTCTGATCTCTTTTAATCTTCTGTTATTGAAGAAAGTTTTCCATCTGACTGTATGCTCTTGGGATTACTGGTCATTTACTCTTACAATTTGTCGATTCCTGTATATTACCTATTATTCTTTACTGTTTTACATTATTCTTTGCCGAGTTTTTGAGAAAAAACTTTGCTGTATTGCAGAGAGTGCTGAAGGCATTTAGTAAGGTGTGTGATGAATCTTACAAGGTCATTATTAATATGATTGTTATTCGAAGCGAGACAAAGAGTTTCCATAGATACAGAGAGTTCATGAAAGCCCTATACACAAACACCTCAGGCAGAGTAAGGGCATACAACCACCTCTCTCCATTGTCCCATTCGAGCAGTGGGGTTAGGCAGGGTTGCCCAATCTCACCATTCCTCTTCAAACTTGCCATCGACATTCTGGAAACAGCCCTGATAGATGTAAGTAATGGTGGTGTGAATCTGTTGCCTGGAGAAAGACTTCTCAACCTTGAGTATGCGGACGATATTGTCTTACTGTGCGATAATGCCTAAGCCATGCAATCCGCACTTAATCAGTTGGCAATCAATCAGTGTCCGTAGGTACGGTATGAGCTTTGCACATTCGAAGTGCAAAATACTTCTACAAGACTTGTAGGATTCTAATCCTGTACTCACTCTGGATGGTGAGCAGATATAAGTAGTCGAAAAGTTCGTGTATCTGGGCTGCTGCATAAGTGCTGGTGAGGGCGTGAGTGATGAGATCAATGCACGTATAGTGAAAGCCAGAGCGGCTTATGGCAGTTTGGGTAGTCTTTGGCGCCTTTGTGATGTTAGTCTGGCTGTAAAAGGTCGGATCTACAACGCGTCGGTGAGAGCAGTTTTGCTCTATGTTTGTGAAACCTGGCCTCTCCGAGTTGAGGATGTTAGACGACTCTCCGTGTTTGATCATCGTTGTCTCCATGGGATTGCTGACATTCAGTGGCAACACCATGTTAGTAATGCAGAGCTTCGGGATCGTGTGTTCGGGTGCCGAGACGACAATGCAATCGGTGTCGCCATCTTAAAAAACACCAACTTCGATAGCTTGGACATGTTCTACGAATGTCGTCCCAGAGAATTCCACGTCGTGCATTATTTGCCGACTCTGGGACTGGTTGGAAAAAGCGGAGAGGTGGTCAATATATGACATGGTGTCGTGGTATGAAAGAAAGCTGCAAAGGGCTGGCTTGTGTTGGTCCTTCACGACTCCCTGTCTGGGGTCCGAGAGGTGGTGCAATACAGTGGCTAGAGACGTTATCAGATATGACTCAGAATAGAAGCCAGTGGCGATCCTGCTGTAACCGTCTTTTACTTTCTTCATAAAAAGTGATTGTATCTTCCTTAACTGAAAGATTTCTTCTGGTTGTACCTTTCCGTTCCTCCATTTTTACCATTATTATTACACTACCTTACATCAATCTCTTCGTTATTGTTCTCTTTTTTTCCTTCCCCTAAATTCTGATTGTTTTGTATTGCGCATATATATTGTACCAAGATTTGTGTTCAAATAAATAAATAATTAATTATTAATATGATTGTGGATAGACAATTAAAGTCTTGCAAACTCCTAGCAAATGTTATCTTATTAGATACTAACCATCCCCTTCACTCATATCTTTCTCCTTGTATATCTTCTGGTAGAATGAGACGTTAATACATTAAAATCCATGCACTTGAGTATAAAACTCCTATAATACCTTACCTAGCAAATATACTCTGTGACGAGCAGGTTGTTAGAGTTAACCTAGTCAATAACCTGTATTCTTAAACATGTCTCTCATTTGGATTTTCAGATCTTTTTTTCACCTTTTTCCTTTTGTTGTTTTTGTTTTTTTGTAGAAGGAACTTGTTGAAATACCTTGTGTTGAGAATTTTATACTGTACTAAAATACAATATTGAATAAACTCATTAATAATAATAAAAATAACACGAAGGTCATTTGCTGATGGGAAACAATGGAAATTAACAAGTTCCACAAAATTTCTTATACTAATAATAATCATGTGCTTAGTAGTGATTAATTTCGAGAGGTTAATCCGGGAGTTCTATTAAAAAGTTGCGACCAGTGGAGTTCAACCGTGTTGGGTGTGAGATAGTAACTGACTGAATACAATGGTAGATGGTGGCTCAATTTCGTGGGTTAGTTGAAGTTAGACATTAACATCATTCGATGCCGGTTCAGTGGTCTGGAGGTTAAGCGTTCGCGTGCGAGACCAATAGGTACTGCGTTCAAATCTCGCAGGGCGGGGATCGTGGATGCGCACTCCCGAAGAGTCTCATACTAGAACGAAACGACCGTTCAGTGCTTTCAGGTTTTCCATTGTGGTCTAGCTTCAACTGACCCATGAACTTAACTATTAAATTACTATAATATCCACAAAAACTCCTTTCTGATATTAAACAATTGCCCTGTTAAGATGTTAGATTTGAGATTTTAGTGTGAATACGATTCATTTTGGTGTGAAATGTAATGAGAACGTAATAAGAAAGGAAATGTATATGATGGTAGACCATATTTATAATTAATCAATAGTTTTTATGGTCCATCTAACTATACTCCATCTATTCAGATTATTTGGGCTTGTTCATATATGTAGGCTTTCGAACTGTAGTTAATTATTTAAAAGAATTAAATATCTTTTTGAAGGATTTGTGTTCCATTAAAGTTAATCATGTGTCGTCTTGTTTCGACTGAAATCAGTCAGGTTTTCCCTAGTTAAGCATCGGATGATTGCTCTGTAACAGTCATTAGAGGATTTTTGTACTTTCTTGTAAACGTAGACGATCAGTGATCAAGACTAGTCATATGGGATCACGTTCAGTTGAGTAATAATTATAGACGGAACTTATAAAACAAATCTAACCAACTAACCTCCTTCAGATATTTTTAATGTTTTTGATAGAACAGTTTGGATTGTACTAAGAACCGATTGAAAAGCATCCTAAAAAGGACAAAAAAGTAAAACAGGTACTTGTTAACTTAAAAGAGGATAAAACAAGAAAACAGGTTGCGAAATCATGATTCCATAACCTAAAGATTATTTGGTACATTTTTAATGCATTTTAATGCCCAAATGTCCTAGTATGGCCGAAAGTGAGATGGGCCCGTCCTCCCTCTCGAAATGCTCTCGCACGGCCACGCGTATACAGCCTCTGCCAAGGAAGTTCTACTCACTGACTTCTCTCGGAATTACTATTGTTTACGAAATTGAGAGGGCGAAAAGCGAATGTCCAGCGCTTTAACCAGGCCGGTGAGTCCACCTAAGGAAGTTGAGAAACCCTGATTCCAAACCAATGGTGCACATTGGCTCCAGTATCCTGATGGAACAAATGGCGTATAAACCAATTGTTGGCCACCGGATATCATGAGACTTTATTTATTTATTTATTTGAACACACAAATATTGGTACAGTAGGGTACAAAATATATATGCGCCACACCATACTTGTGTGGGCTGTGATGCTACCTGGGTGCCCAAACCGAAGCCAGTGGTTTTCTTGGGGAGCCACAACCCCAGCCTTTGACCTAAAGGTCTGATCTACAATGCGGTGGAGCATCGTAGGGAGATACATTCCCATGGTAGCCGGTGACCAACGATTGGTTCATACGCCATTTGTTCCTTCAGGATACTGGAACCCACCCACTCTCGGCCATACCAGGGCATTTGGGGGCACCATGAAACTGAATCTCCTGACGTTGCTCCACTGCCTTGTGGGTCAGACCTTTAAGTTAAAGGCTCGAGGTGCGGTTCCTTGAGAAAACCACCTGCTTTGGTCTGAGCACCCGGGCAGTATCACAGATCACAAACAAATAAAATGAGCAAGAAAATATTTTATGGTTAAAACTGAAACAACAGCACATCATGCTGAATTACTTTGAAGGAATATTTAGGTACTTGTTGTCCATTTTCATTCTCAATTTTTGTCTCTAAATGAGCTAATGTTAAAGCAGCGAATAAATCTCCGGTCCCAATAAAATGGTAATCCAAATGTGGAATTTTAAAACGTACACGATCGTATTCTGTAAAATTTAGAAGCAAAAGAACATTTAAAATCTTACAAAAGATTCAAAATAATAATAGTACAATACCAATGATAACAAATAGAAAGATAAATGGTACAATATTGGAATTTCAAACTGAAAAATGCACTTTTTGAAAATCGTTTTTACTACTGACATCATCACCAGCTGGAATGCGTATTAAAATCAGCATCATATGACAATTTCATATTAATAGAAGGAGTTTGTGGAGATTTTAGAAATTTCACAGATTGAAATCATGAGTCAATTGACGCTAGACCACTATGGAAAACCTGGAAGCACAGGATGGCCGTTTCGTCCTAGCATGGGACTCCTCAGCAGTGAACATCCAAGATCCAGGTTTTCCATGGTGGTCTAGCTTCAACTGACTCGTGATTTCAATCTGTGAATTTTCATATTAAGTAAATTTGTAAGAGTCATCTTTACTTTGTTCGAGTCACCAACTTTATGATTGAAGAGAAGATATTTATAGACAGTGGCAAAAAAAACTAGTTATTATTTATTTATTTAAACACATAAACACTCGTACAAGGAGTCACCAAATAGATATGCGCTACATAAATTATTCGATTTATGTGAGAGCTGGGATACTGTATGGATGCCCAAATCAAAGCAGTTGGTTTCCTTAGACGGACATATCCCGAGCCTTTGAACTAAAGGTCTAATCCACAAGGCAGTAGAGCAACGTCAGGAGATGCAGTCCTATGGTAGCCGGTGACCAATAATTGGTTTATATACCACTTGTTCTTTTAGGATCTTGGAGCCCATATGCACCATTGGCTTAGAATCAGGGTTTTCCAACTCCCTTAGGTGGGTCCTCCATATCCACCGGCCTGATTAAAGCGCCGAACATTCGCTTTTTGCCCTCTCAACTTCGTAAACAACAGTAATGCCGAGAGAAGGTAGTGAGTAGGACTTCCCTGGCATTGGTTGCATGTACGTAGCAATATGAGAGCATTCGAGAGGGAGAGATGACTCGCCTCACGTTTGATCGTACCACGGCATTTGGGGGCCTAGTTGATATCTTTCTACTGAGTTAATAATTGAAAGGCAACAATTTGTAAATTTCGTGATCATATAATTAGAGATAAATCAAATTGTTTAACATTAGGGAATTTCGTTAATCATATAACATTGATAAACTTAGTAGCTTCAAGAAAAAGTAAACAAACAAGTATATGAGTTCAGAATGAATTACTTGAAGTGTTGTTCGTAACTGAACCATTCGTTTGATTTAACAAATCACTACTATTATTATTTTTCATTGGATTCTTTAAACGGCTTCCATAACCATACATTACTGGTGATAAAGTTACATTAGTACTTGTAATAATTACAGTTGGAATATGATATTTTTTATGTAAGTATTTGATACAATTTAAAGCAGACTTTTCATCCGTTATTCGTATACCACTTAGTATTCTGTTGTAATAAAGAGTAATACATAAAGATAGACAAATAAGTCTTACAAATTAATGCATAGTACAATGCATGATTTACATAATATTATAATGATTTGTTTATGGAAGAAGTATTTTATTAACTGAGTTACGAGTTTAAACCCTACGTGGTTTCATTTAATTGAGCGAGATAAGTTGTGGCAGTACATTAATATGAACCGATGTAACTTATTTACGAAGCAAAAGTTTCTGATCTTCATGTTGAGCTACATTTTAGTTGAGAACTAACAATGAGATACAGCTGTTCAAATCTGTGGCACATTGGTTGGAAGCCTAGTATTTTAAGACTATTATTAGCCTTTACCTACAAACATTGGCTACGTGTGTTGGGACCGCTGAGTGAGAAATGCTGACAACAGACACAGGTTAGTACGGAAAGATGGCAAACAGATTGATGAGACAGGTAATCAATTTTAATCGACTGAGGTAACTGGGACGTGTATTGAGTATCCTTAACTATCGCCTACCTCGATGTGTGCTGTTAGCTGGAGTAGGAGTTGGTTATGGGTGACCAAATTCAAGCACAAAATCAGTCCGTGAAGTAACTGACTATTCGACTGAGTCGTGTACGTAGGCAGAAACTACCTGGTTAAAGTCTACATAATTATCGTAATCAATGGCGTAAGACATTGTATGATATGACTCAGAATAGGTTAAAATGATGCAGATGCATTCACTCTGCATCTTCAGATCTTGAGTTCCAAGATTATATTGTACGTCTTAGTTCGTGAATTTCTTCTTTCTTCTAGAATCACACTGTCTAGGCCTAATACTTTCTGATACAACTGATACTGCCTCTAGTACTCCGGCATTTGCCTTGACTGTTTAATTCTGTTCTGATAGTCTGGTAACTTAAACAGACAGACGTGTTACGATACACGTAGCTTACGACTGACGGGCATCAGAAAATATCTATAGGAAGACAAATCATATGCACAGCTACCATTCAACAATGACAGTAACAACAGATAAACCTTACTCTGCTTCAAATTGGTTTGGCAAAATAACATCTGATAAAGGGAGTATTTTTTCTTGGTATATCTGGACGAGTTCGGGTGGAACGTACTGATATAAACAAAATAGTTGAAAAACGAAAAACATTTAGTCAAAGTTGACAAAAAACAACAATAACACTTCAAAAAAAGACTGGAAAAAGTACAAGAATATGGACACCAAGTGGAGTGGGGGAGTAAACTAAAAAATAATGGTAAAATTAGTCATTTTCCAATATATTCTACTCTTATGAGACTCTATGTATCTTTTATTTTAAATAGTAGCTAGTTTGATTTTAAAAGCTGGGCGCTGACTAATTGTAGGCAATTGTCAACGGCTACTGAAATCGTCAGAAAAACAGCACAAAACATGTTGAGAAAATGTAATGATGTGAATATAAACAAACTAACTGTTTCCAAATAATGACAATTTCAAGATAAGTTGAATATGCATAATCTAGGTAATAGTGCGGCGAGACTATAATTTATGAATGAACCAATCACATATAAGATAACAGGTCTCGGGTTTTGGCGCGAAATTCAACCATTCACTTGGATAAATAGAGTTTTTGGCATTATAGCTTATGTTAGTCCGTGATGAAAACTCGAAATCCAATTTCAAACCTTAATCATGGCCTGTAAATCATAATTCTAATTCCTAAAAAGGATTCATAATCCTCATTTAATCCTGGTTATTAAGTGAACACTCAAGGTCAATCTAGCATCGCTCAAAGGTCGTCCATAAATTGTAGTCTAAGTAAAAGTACTACTAAATCATTGTGGTTACTGCATATAAACTATGTCATTGTTCGTCGTGAATACATTAGTGAAAACAAACGGAGCAGGAATTTAAACCACGAACAATTCATAGCGTATACAAACTAGATAATAAATTTGATAGTTGTATATGAATCACTTAAAAACGATTTTAGTCGAAAACAAAATAACAAGAAAACTGAAGAGACTGTTTGTCTTAGATATCCATATTTTTCACTTTAGACTGTTGGATATTATCATCGGTGCTTGACTAGAATATGGCCCAAAGCAGGGTACACAAAGTCAGTCACTTCATTACATCAACATGAACATAAAAATACAGATTTTTGAAGTTAAAACCCTTATGTTAGGTGTTTGCCAAAACAAAATGACTTGTTAGGTGACCATACTATCCAAACGACTTGTAGTTTATAAACGATTGCTATGTTTTCTTACACACATGTCTTCTCAGTTCTCTTGAGTCAAGCAAAGATTCGGTGCATCATTTTTACTCTCATTTATCATGAAAATTTAACATTTTCTGGACGACCAGCATCGACATAAGCTACATCACCAGAATGTTATATTAATAAATTTATTAACTGAAACTAATCTGAGAGTCAGTTAAAATATATGGGACTGAAAGTATAACATAGACGGATAGGCAGGAGGCTAAGTATGCCTAAGACATGGCCGAGATATTACGTCACCTTTCGTAATCCAAATTATTGGCTTTCAGTCTTTATCAATGTCTGAACTCCTGAGAATGTTGACCGTAGTAGGCACGATATGCAGACTTTAGAAATGATCGGACAGAGAAACTCACAAGCTTTCCATTGTCACCTAGGACGGGATCGCAGTCTATTGAGTAAATTTTACCAAAATATGTGTACTTACAATATTTTATGTTTGAGTTCTCTTTTTTGAGGTCAGATACAATATCTGCGACCACTTCTAAAGAGCTTGACGACCCCAGGTAACCTAGAAACCGGGAAACGAACAATTTAAAGTGATATTAACTAGTACCTGTGAGCACATGAGTATACTTGTTGAGGCCATTTGCCTTCAAACCAAGATATAAATCTTTCATGCTCGTAGCATCCAACACCTGCCCCTTGACAAAAGCATAGCCTGTATACATTATGAATAGTAGTAGACAAACCTGTGTGATTTGAAAACTGAACAGAGTTAATATAGTCAACTTCTATGCCTAAGACCTATAAAACAAAAATATAACAAAAAGAAACTAACTTGCAAAGGAAAAACAGCTATTTTATTGCCGACATATCCATGGACAACATGACTTTGTATGCAGAGAACCCTTAAGCAACTAAGTGCGACTTTAACTGCCATCCTAACTTCATATAACGTTCAGCCTTTGATAAGTTTAGACAGAAAAACCCCAGGCAACCCAAAAACGGGAAATAAAGCGGACGAATGCGTAAATAAAGGGTAAATATCGCTTTTTCGCTTTTACGTCGGTTATTTATGGGAAATGTCACTTTTTCCCCTTACGTTGTGTATTTGGTGGAAATTTGTCGACAATTATACGTAACGCACGGTATTTGAATAAGCCGCGTTTAGAACTTAAGTTTTCATGACCTTCGACAAATTAAGGCACCGCTTAATAAAATAACAAAACTATTGTCATAAAAACAATGTAAAAATTACGGAACCAGGCATTCATTTGAGACGCATATACACTGACTTCGTTTTTTGTTTAGCTAAAGTGCTCTGATATGTTTGGGAGCTATCACAAAAAACTTACGTGATGCAGGTTAGTGACGTGCTCTCAGATTTTCATGTTCATTGTAACTGATTATCTTGTCAGGCCAATATTATGAGTTTTGCTGAAGTCAGTGAGAATTTTCGTAGACGTAGGGCCACTGTGAACTAGTCACGTTCCCTTGGCTGTCATAGATCCACTTATAACAGAAGGTGGGATAAAATGCGAGCCGCTTTCATGAAAAAATATGACTTTCTTTCATTCATTCAGTTTGCTAATGAAAGCACCCTAAAAGGTAACTGAGTTCAACAATGTTGTTTATTAAATTGATAGAATTAAAGAAAGAAATCATTTGTAATGTACATGAGTAAACTTAGATCGATGCTTGACAGACACATGGAATGCACATACATTGGATAACAAAAAAACAACTGGAGAAAATTATAAGTGATACAAACATAACTAGAGGTCAACAAAAAGGAATTGTAAATACCCTACATTAGATTATGACGGGTCTATTGAAGGAAAAATGAGCTGGATGTGACCTGAAGATCATGGTACTGTAAAACCATTCAATACTCAATCACACTTTGTCTTCGATGTGCCTAAGTACAATTTACAAAACTTCGACCTTATTTGTCGCTCTCCAACGGTGACTTATTTTGAATTGCTATGATTGTTAGTCTCCGTGAAATTAAACGGACGGATACATTGAGAACTCACTCATACTTGCCATCTCCGAACAAGTATGGAAATACAGTTTTTCCGAGTTTTTTAGGGGCTAAATGTGGACGTCTTACTTTTTCATCTCCACTCAGAGAGAAAGAAATGTCTCCAAAGGCACGTTAGAAACCAGGATAACGAACCGAAAATGAATTTCTTGGGCCAATGAAATGCCACAGGGCCCTAAACAAATCATCCAGCAGTTGGGTCACTGAATATAAAATAGTTTGCCGATTGTCGCCGAGGTCAGGGAAAACCGGCGCGCACCAAGCAGTTTCACGCCATGGACTGTCCGGCACGGTGGAAAAATAATTTCTGCCGTTTTCGCCCACGCGGAACGCGTTGTCATGTACATCGTCGAGTCGATAATTGTCGACCTAATGCAGCAGTTTTGCTATTGTGTTGATTTTCGCGCGTTTTGAATAGTGTAAGTTCATACTTTATGGAAAAAAAACTTTGCTGTATACTAATGATAATACTCTGTTTGTAAAATTGTTTCACCAGCTTTAAGCTCGTCTCTTAAGTCAACCTAAATGTCCTGGTATGGCCGAGAGTGGAGCGGGTTCGCTCTCCTCCTCGAAATACTCTCACACGGCCACGCGTACACAGCCTCTGCCAGGGAAATCCTACTTACTGCATTCCCGTGGCGAGGGTGTTGTTTACGAAAATGAGAGGACGAAAAGCGAATGTCCGGTGCTTTAACCGGATCCCAAATCAATGGTGCACATGGGCTTTAGTATCCTGCGGGAACAAAGGGTATATGAAACAATCGTTGGTCACCGGCTACCATGGGACTGCATCTCCTCACGATGCTCCACTGCCATGCGGGTTAAACCTTTAGGTCCAAGGCTCGATGTGTGGCTCCCCAAGAAGACCACCTGCTTCGATTCGGGCACTCGGGCGGTATCTCAGCCCGCACACAACAACACGATAAACTGTTTACTTATGAAAGATATTCCTCTCGCTCCAAATTACACTCAAGTGACTCGCACTATTATTATCATTATTACTATTATTGTTATTATTATTATTGTTTACTACGTCATTATTCACCCTCTTTTATTCCCACTCTGTTTATACTTATTTGTTCGACTTATACAGCAGCTCGCCTATTGTGGGAACTCAGCTCTATCTAATCGTTCTCGAGTCACTGTCTGGTTGAAAATTGTTACCACCGAATACAAGTATTGAAGCAGTGTTTCTGAAGCCACGTGCACCACTCAAACTGGCTAAGTTCAACGTACGCACACTTATGCAGGTCGGACAACAGATAGGGCTGACTATGTCTTTAGAAAGTCTTAATATTGATGTTTGCTGCCTATCCGAAACCCGTATTTAAGACTCTGGTCAAGTACTATAAATTCGCTCTCCATCTGTCGCTTTGAAAAGCTTGTTTTACGTGCGTTTATTCGGGGACCCTGTGGCACCTTCGACTTATCTTTCTGATGTTGGTGTCGTACTAAGCGCTAGAGCTGAAGCAGCACTAATCGTTGGATCCCCATTAACAGTCGGTTATATGCTGTCAGATTAGAGAGTTTCATCAAAGTGAGAAGAAATCGACGTGATAGACGATGTCTTTTCGTCACCTCCGTCATATTGGGCAAAGCTTGCATAAGGACCGAGAAGCCTGGTGGTCAGAGCGTGCTAAAGAGCTGGAAGCAGCAGCAGCATCTGGTAACTACTGGAAGCTCTTCCAACTCATCCGAGCCACTGAGAGCAAGAAGTCTGTTGTGAGCGGAACAATCTGTGAGGATGACGGGATGCCAGTCATTAACATTCATCGACGTCTTGAATGATTAGTAGAATTCTCCGAAGGGCAGTTCAACTGGCCTGCTGCTCCGGCAACATTGGTCGGACTGTCCTGCCCTCCATGGCCGGTGACGACTGATCCATCAAATGTGGTGGAAGTTTGCAAGGACCTCCAACTTTTGAAACTTTACCAGTCACCATGACCATATGATTCACCTCCGGCTCTTTTTAAAGATGGTGGTGACTTTCTGACCAAGAAATTGACGACGTTGTTTACAAAGGTGTGGGAGCTAGAGAGTGTATCAACGTCATGGAATGAGTCGATAGTTGTCCCTATCTTTAAAAAGGGTTCAAGTCGTTCCTGTAACAACTATCGGGGGATAAGTCTGTAGAACTTATGGTCTACTATGATATTAGTACTGCTCTAATAATAGACCTTATCCTAAATTTGTAGATTTGTCATGATATGACTGCCTAATCTATAAGATCTTACGTGGAAGTCACACCATCGACTACACCAACTCACTGTATCGTATCAATTACCAATACATGATGTAGAACAAGGTTAGGCTAGAGAAAGAACAATATATTTAATATGAAAAGAAGATATAAGGTAACATTCAGCAGAGACCACGCCTGCATGGCCGAGCCATGCCGTTCGATCAACTCTAGTCTATTCAATTCATTAGTCGCGCCTTCTCCATCGTTAGGTATTTCTTCGCGTTAAATATTGAATACCTATTTTCCGAGTAATCTCGTATTCAGCTTTGAGGATAGTGTGGTTATGGTCCAATGCCACTACAAGTCTACTTCCGATTGCGTCCAAGCTATTGGCTACCGTCATACTTCGTAGGTTGTTCAAAACCCGAGAAAGATTGACTCGCGAGGAGCAGGCTAAGTCTCGTTCTGGTCGAGGATGTATTGATCATATCTTTACCTTCCGCGAAATGTTAGAACACCGTCATACTTATCGAAGGCCAACAATCGCAGTGTTTCTTGACATCAGGGCTGCCTTCAATTCTTCGGATAGGACTGTTCTCTGGGGTTGTCTTTTGAAGAAGGATGTGACTGATAAGTTTATTAACATCCTTAAGGCCCTATATACAAACACCTCAGGCAGAGTGAGGTCATACAACCACCTCTCTCCATTGTTCCATTCGAGCAGTGGGGTTGGACAGGGTTGCTCAATCTCACCGTTCCTCTTCAACTTTGCCATCGACGACATTCTGGAAACAGCTCTGGTCGAAGTAAGTAATGGTGGTGTGGATCTGTTGCCTGGAGAAAGACTTCCCAACCTTGAGTATGCGGATGATATTGTTTTACTGTGCGATAATGCCCAAGCCATCCAATCCGCACTTAATCAGTTGGCAATCAGTGTCCGTAGGTACGGTATGAGCTTTGCACCTTCGAAGTGCAAAATACTTCTACAAGACTGGTAGGATTCTAATCCTGTGCTCACTCTGGATGGTGAGCAGATACAAGTAGTCGAGGAGTTCGTGTATCTGGGTAGCTGCATAAGTGCTGGTGAGGGCGTGAGTGGTGAGATCAATGCATGAATGAAAGCTGCAAAGGGCTGGCTTGTGTTGGTCCTTCACGACTCCCTATCTGGGGTCCTAGAGATGGTGCAACACAATGGCTAGAAACGTTATCAGATATGACTCAGAATAGAAGCCAGTGGCAATCCTGCTGTAACCTTCTTTTACTTTCTTCATAAAAAGTGGTTGTATCTTCCTTACCTGAAAGATTTCTTCCGTTCCCCCATTATAACTGTTATTATTATTACACTACCTTACATCAATCTCTTCGTTATTGTTCTCTTTTTCTTTAGCGCTCCTTTCTTTTTTCCCCTTGTCTTTAAATTCTGATTGTTTTGTGTAGCGCATATATATTTGGTGCCTTCTTGTACCAACATTTATGTGTTCAAATAAATAAATAATTATTATAATTTCGTTGTTAAACAGGCGCACGCTGATGTATGCCTTATATTTAATCCGGTATTCTGTTTTTCAGCATCTAACAAACAATAAGTACTTTTTGTCACGCGAGTTAATTTTGATATCTTCTGATCATTCACAGAATGATAAACTTTGGAATAAAGTTCAACCTGGGCGAGTTTGTACGTACAAGTTTCTATAACTTCACTCATGTTGGAATTCATTCAACCCCTTTCCGAATTCCCCTTAATTCACATACCATCTGTTCAGTATAATACGTCTAAACACATCGCTGAAGTGGACCGAAGTATTTATCAAATAAGAAGCACAACAGATAGGACCTTGTTGATAAAAGAAACAAAACGAACCATTTATTATTGCAGAGCATATTTGTTAACCGCAGTGCAGAAGGTAAAATTCGCATCAATGAAAGACGACAACAGTTTCAAA